CACCACCACCACCACCACCACACCACCCCCCCCGCAAAAAAAATTAAAAGAACCAAAAACACCAGAGGTGTAAACGTCCATACAAATACAAAATCCATGGAGTTGTGTTCTCCTACAAGGGTGCCAAGAGCCCTGCTCTGCCCAAGAATGAAGATGGGGTAATACTCAAGCTTAGGCACCTGGGTTCATGCCCTTCTGAAGGGGAAATCATTCTAGCACTTTCTTTTTTAATGTGTCTAAAACTTGATGATTCAAGCAGTGAAAATACATAGTTAACATGTCTTGAGTAGAAAAACTGAATTTTGGACATAGCATTGAACTTTAAAACAGTAACTTTTTGCATTGTTTCATTTTTCTACTCCACCATCATGACTGGGAGTCGGAAGTCATCCAATCACTCCAGCACTCTTGAACCACGTACACCTTGCTGCCGCCTCAATCTCTATGGGCAGGAAGGTCTGTTAGCTTATGAACCACAAGCACATGAACTTTTCCACTTATTTGCCACAAAATTTCCAAAACTAAAGTTTCAAGACATGCTCATTTTATTCCAGGATTCGGGCACAGGCATACAAGTGCCTGGCATACTTAAAACAATTTCAATCTGAAATCAATGCTTGTCCTGCTCTCCCTCAATCCTGTCTCACCTACCGTCTCAGAACAGCACATCTTCCCAGCCGGGACACAGCTAATGGTGAAACTTTGATTTAATCACAACACGACTGCCAACAATTTCTGGCCTTTTGACTAATTTAATCTATGAATTAGCGATTTCAAACCATCAGTTGGCGTATATCCTACAAGGGTCTAGGTCCTTTACTCTCACGAAACTTAATCTCCCTCTACAAACTCCAAACACCATCAAAAAAACAGCATTTGTACCAGTACAACCTACTTACCTGTACTTCCTAAAAAGCTTTTGCAGAATCTAAGACCTTTCCAAGAACACATCTTAACTCCCCCTCCTTGATGTTTAAAAGAACTTCAGCTAAAACTTGCATTAATTGGGTCAACTTTTCCAACATTTAGCTACTGCAAACACCACTGATATTTTTCTTTTTAAGACACCTCTCCCTAGTTACAATCACAAGGGCTGCTTTAACATCTAGTCCCGAAAACATACCATCAGCAAGTAACAGACCTGCTCACAACGCGCTCCTTACCCCCCCCATCACGGTTATAAACCAAGTATATAAAGGCACAGACTCGTTAAAAGCCCATCCAAGCAGCAACAGGTGAGCCAAAAACGTTAACAGGGTGTCCCAACAAGAGGGGAGGGGAGGAAACCAACTTCTTCCAAGTAACCTGCAAGGAAAGCGACCTGCTAGCAGAGTGACACGAGGACGCCGCACGGGCCAGCCCCAGCCCGGCTGAGCGGGGCGCCCTACACCAAGCAGGGTCCGTACGGCGGCGGCCTGAAGCACTAACGTCCCCCGGGAACGCCGCAGGGGTCCTCAAACTCGAGCCTCTCTATGAAATCTGACCGTCCCCTCCACGGACATGTCCACTGGTCCCCAGGTTCTGGCCACAGGCTTCCCGGATGCGCGAGTCCCCCAGGTGGCAGGTCCCCTTCTGCCTCCCCGCTCTCCGCCCAGGTAACCAGGCCCAGACCCTGGCTGCCTCACGCCGGCCGGGCTCCAAGGGCCGCTGACCGGCCCAGGCCGGAGCCTCGACACTGCGGCTCCCTGCTGGCCACAGGCAGGGGCCCGCGCCTGAGCCCCGGCCTCTCAGATCTGCGGATCCGCCACTCCGGCCCCAGGCCGCGGCCTCCTCCGCCCACAATGTGCTGAGCCCAGCGGCGGCCCGGGCCTGACCCGGCCGGCTTGCCAGCCCAGCCCCGGGCGGACGCTGCGGAGTGCCGTCCCACGCGAGCCGGGCAGGAGCCGGGCGGGCGAGGACCACGTGCACGTCCTGGAGCCGAGGCCTCACGCGGAGCCATACTAACCACAGGCGCCATGACTTCACCGGAGCCAGAAAGGGAGGTGGGCGAACTGCGCAGACGCGAAGAGGCCCCAGCGCGCAGACCACGTAAGGCTCCAGGCCGTACAATCGCTCTGCCACGCCCCTCGGCCGCCATCGTTCCGCCCTGTTCCGTACGATCGGGCGGCGACTGGTTTTCCCTGCTTGCAAAGCACATCCTCTCTCAGGCCTGGAAGGTAGTGGAGGGAGGAAGGACGCCGAGGAGCCTGAGTCACTTCGCAGGATCTGAGGGAGCTAGAGCGGACTTGCCCAAAGAAACATAAAGATGCTCGCTCTACTTTTGAAAGGCTTGGAAAGATAGAGAAAGAAATTCACTAAACCATAAATCACCAGCGAATTGGGATGGGAGCCAAACCCTCTAACTTGGGGCGGTGAGGCCCTTCTGGCCCTGGGGTCCTGACGCCCGAGGGCACTTGGGCTTCTTACTACCTGATTCTTTGGAAGAGGGTGCCCAGGGGCTGTGTCTCCCCGCGCGAGCCCTTCTGGCCGCAGTCAGGTACTCTCTCCAGTTTGATTCCTTCACAATCTCAAATGCAAGCTGCCCACCCACGGATCACCACCTCCCAGCTTTCCAGTTCACACCTTCTAGTTTCCCACTTACACCAGTGCTTCTCAAACTGGCATATGGACGGAACTCTCGGGATCCGGTTAAAATGCTGGTGCCTAACCAGTGGGTCTCGGTGGCTTGACATTATGCCTCTCTCCAAAGCTCCCAGTGGTCCATGAACCACAAGTTGAGTAGCAAGGGTCTTCCAGCCCAGGCCTACAATCGCTTGACTTAGGACCAGAAAAAAATTCAGAGATGTTCTAAATTAAAACCACAGGGGCTGGAGAGTGTAAGAGAGACAGAACAGTTCCCCTTGTTAACAGCTATGGACGAACAGCTCTGAGGAAAGACTGCCCGCATTCCCCTCAACCTGTTGGAATTCGGGATTCATTTCCAGGTGGCTTTTTCTCTGACTATCGAACCCCAAGAGCCTCCGCTTCTTATTTACACATGAACTTTTCCATCTGCTGCTCACAGCTAATCCACAAGAGCAACGCTTCTTGCCAGTCTACAGAACAAGCCCACTTCAGCTTCTGTCCCCTTTGTCTGCAGCTAATGTAAATCCTTTCAGAGCGGCTTACATGTCCTCCCCCTCTACTTGATGTATAAAAATGCTTGCAAAACTCCCGCTGCTGGGGGTTTAGACTCCATGCCCCAAGAGTGGTCTTTTTTTTTTTCCCCCTAGCAATAACCTTTCTTTTAAAAAGACCTTCAACCATGGAAGTTAAAGTTTTTGTTTAACAACTAGAATACTTTTCACCCACCACCATCACCCTCCTGCTCTTACCAATTACATTCCAGGATCCTGCATTGTAATCACGCAGTCACCCCCCACTCCCTTTACCTGGCTGCAATGTACTCACCTAGCCAAAGCCCAATTCTGGCTGACGATGGTTGGAGGAAACACACCATGCCAACTGGTCTAGGTTTAAACTCAGGCCTACTGTACCAGTTGACCAATCTCCAAGCCCACTCGACTATTCTAGACTGCACACCACATTTCTGCTTTGCCAGCTGCTCCTGGTTAGGCTCTTTCAACAGGGGGCTAGAGGGGAGACTGCAGACTGGGGGGGTGGGGGGAGAAACGAAGAGACTTCCTGTTTGCTTCCTGCTTGTTTCTGTTCTGTCAGGTGTCACCCACTTTTGCTGCTTCACCTGGGTAGTGCCAGTTGGAACATTCCAGAAGCAGCAGTTGAGTCCGGTTTGCAATTATTCCAACACTTGAAGAACCAGCCTCATTTTCTTTTCCCCAGACCCCAACAGAGCAACCCTCCTTTGAGGCCTCCCCCAACTTCAAGCTTCTACATTTTAATGCTATTCTAGAAGTGGCAGCTGCTTCCTCAAGTTGCTACTCTTTTTAATATTTCACCCTTTCAGCGAGCTAGTTTACAAGTCTTCATTCCTAATTAACAATCCTTTGCATTAAAGTCTATTCAAAGCCTAGTGTGCTTTCTTCTGATACCACTCCCAACCCTGAGCAAGCCCTCGGGGTGGCTGCCAAGCCTAAAATCCCCTTCTAAGTGGCTATTGTACACCTGCGGGCAGAATGCCAGGCCCTCCTCCCCAAACCTCCCTCTCAGCTGATGACTTCTGTTGCTCTTTGTTTGAAAACAGGGAAGCAATCCAAAGAGAATTTACAGACACTCCTGCCTGCACATCTAACCTTCCAGCAACATCTATACCGACTGTGCCTTCCCTTCTGTTACTGTGGAAGAAAAGTCCTCGCCTCCATGGAGGCCAATGCTCACACTTAGGCATTAACCTCATACACTCGTGCCTACTTGAGAACATCACTCCAACAGCCCTGGCCCCTCCCATGAAATCATCAATGTATCCTTTCATCTGAACCATTCTTTCATATCTCCCATCTTAAAAAAAAAAAAAAAAAAGCAATCCCTTGGGACTGCATGTTTGTGTCCCTCACCCAATAATTCTTATGTTGAATCCCTAACCAATCCCAGATGAGGTGGTATTAGGAGGTGGGGCATATGGGAGGTGATTAGGGTTGCATGGGGTCATGAGGGTGGGGCCCACGATGGGACTGGTGCCCTTATATAATAAATGAGGAGGCACAAGATGTCTACGTGTGAGGACACAGCTGGAAGGCTGCCAGCTACAAGCAGGAAGAAGGCCCTTGCCAGCAACCAAACCTGAGGCACTTTGATCTTGGACTGCCCAGACTTCAGAACTGTGAGAAATCAATCTCTGTTGTTTAACTCACGCAGCCTGAACAAAGACAATCTCTTTACACCCATTTTCTCAGAAAAGTTGCCTCTGTGGGCTGTCTGCAATTTCTCGCCTTCCATTTTCTGTGGCACCCACTCTGGTCAGGCATTTGCCCAACTGCCACCTGGACAGATTCAAGGTCACTGGTGACACCCTCATGCTAAGCACGGGTTCGTCCCACCGGAATCAGGGCTTGGTTCTCCTCCTGCTTGTCTTCGCAGCATCTGACCCGGTAGGTCCCTCCGTCCTCCTTGCCTCTCTCTCCTCCTTCCTGGACTTGAAGGATGCAGAACACAGGGCTCCTCTCATCTCTGTCTACACTTGACCTTTGGCATGCCCAGGCTTGTGCCTTTAATTAAATACGACTCCCCAGGTCTGTGTGTGCAGCCTCAACCCCTCCCTGGGCTCCTGACTCATACAGCCAGTGGCCTCCTGACATCTCCCCTCACACCCACGACCCCACTCTCACCCTCCCCACCCCCACCCCGAGTCCCTTCATCTCCACCCACATTGGTCTTCTTTTCTTTCCTCTAAATTTCTTCCAGCTTCTGGGACCTTGTATTTGCTGTTCCCTCCGCGGTGAACTTTTCCTGGCTTTTCTTGTGTCTGATTTCGTCTCATCCTCCAGGGTCTCAGGCTCAGTGCCCCTCTCTACCCATGGTTATGCAGGGTGCCCTCTGCTGCACCCCTTCCTAGCTGCCCTCTATCACATCAGCCTGATTATTTTTTGTGGGAGCATTTGAGACAGCCTGCCATTCCTGTACTTGTTTACGTGTGTACTTGGTTAACCTTGCTGGTGTGTTCCTTCCATGTATATGGCCCATGGCAGATGCTCGATAAATACCACGCAAATAGATGAAGACAGGAATGGATGGATTACATAAGCCTGAGTATCAAGATGAACACACCTACCTCCTTCGGCCCCTCCAGAGGGAAATGAATGCATCATTCATTCTTAAAGCACCCACCCGGTTTTGTACAGCAGCTCTACCACTTACTAGGGTAACATTTTCTACCTCCTAAGGTTGTTGTCAGGATGAGATGAGTTAATACAAGTACAAGAACTGGAAGACCACTTTGGTCTATAAACATTAGCCATTGTTATTATTGTAATCGTAACTTGGAACGCAAATGGAACCAGGGTTAGGAAGGACCCTTAAAAGAACAGTAGTTTCACTTCCTTTCTTCCCTCTGGCAAACTCCTGCACATTCTTCAAAACCCAGTTCTAATATTATCTCCCAGTTTTTTTCTGATTAGTAATGCTTTATTGAGTACCTTCTGTGGGTCAGGCTCTGGGCTTGGCTCTTTGATTTCAAGAGGGGCAGAGGGACAAGAGCTGTTTTCACAGATAATGTGTGCGAACAAGGCAGATAATGCACTAGATGATGACCTAGGGGTGAAGGGCACTCCGAAGAAAATCCTACTGCGATTAACCAGCGCTCTGCAGGCTAGAACAGCAGAGGGAGGGTCCCTCACTGGAAAGGCTCTAAGCCTCCTTCCCTACCCTCCCACGCAAGCCTGCTCCTCTTGGGAACTCACCTGATGATGACGGCGGGGCCTACTTATTTGGAAGCCTAGTTTGTGCATTTCACTTCGTGAAAGTCTCACCTCATCACTGAGAGGCCCGCCCGTTTTACCCAAGCTCCGAGGCTCTGAGAAGTCTGTGACTTGGCCAAGAGCCCCCCAACCAGCGAAGGAGAGGCCCGGGATTCCAAGCCCTCTCACCCCCTCTCCCCAGCACTGGGGTGTCTGTGGAGGGGCGCCCGCTGCTTTCTGTCGCCCCCAATTGGCTGTCGAGGAGATGGGGCCGCACGGGCGCACTCTAGTCCCGGCTCAAGTCCGGCGGGTGCAGCCCCTCCGCTTCTGCGGCTGCGTAATGGGGGCTCTGTCGTCCCCAGCAGAGTCCAGTCCGAGCCTCGGAACCCAGCCCGGCGCCACCCTTCGCAGTCGCGGCGTTCCCGCTTCTCTTCCCGCCGAACTGGGGATGGAGTGGCCGTGACCGGATCCGGCGGCAGAGAGGCCGTCCTCGTCCCGAGGCAGCGGGCGGGCTGAGGCTGGTGGCCCCGGCGCCGCGTCCGAGCTGGGTGCGGCCCCGCGGGGAAGGGGTGTCGCCCGCGGGTCACCCAGAGGACACCGGGAGGGAAATTCCTGGGGCGGGAGTGAGGTTTGGTGGGAGAGGTGACGACAGGGCGAGGCTGGCGGTTGTGTGGGAAGCTGTGCCGGGTCCGGCGCCTGACCTTCTCGGGCCACCGCAGGGGCGCGGGCGAGGCCGGGAGCGCGGGGACCAGTCCAGCCGCTCCGCACGCCTCACTGCCCATCCGCCCTGTGCCCGGCGCCCCGGCCCTGGCTGCGCCCGCTCCGTGGCCGCGGGACACCTCGCCGCCGTTCTGAGCTGTCCCCGCAGATGTCGGGAGCTATCTTTGCGCCCCTGGAGGGTCCAGGCGCCCTCGACTCTGCAGGCGGCCACCCGCTCGTGTGCCCGCTGTGCCACGCGCAATACGAGCGCCCGTGCCTGCTCGACTGCTTCCACCACTTCTGCGCCGGGTGCCTGCGCGGCCGCGCCGCCGACGGCCGCCTCTCCTGCCCGCTGTGCCAGTGAGTGAGCGCCTCGAAGCCCCAACAGAACCCCCCTCCTCCGCGGAGACTGGCTCCGCCTGGGCAGGGGTTGAGTGCGGGGAGGACAAGCCTCCGACTCCCAGCACAGGCGGCGGGGGAGGCCGCACCCAGCCGGAACCTCTCCGCGCGGGACAAGGCGCGCGCCTCCGCCCGTTTTCCAAGTCAGGTTGACTGAGGCTTGCAGTTACTGGCCCAAGGTCTCCCACAGAAAGTCGGGGGGCTAGGGCGGGGCTGGAGCGCAAGTTATGTCGGGACTTAGTGCTACCGCAGGACCCTATCTCAGCACAGGGTCAGGCCACTCCCAGTAACTCACTTGGGGGCCCCTGAAGTCTTAGGTCAGCATATGCAGGTGATGTTAGCTCAAGTTAGGGGGGTTGACATGGCCATAAATTTGCCCAATGCAAGGAGAGAGGCTTGAGGGCAGGCTTGTCACACCAAGTCACCAACCACATGACCTCCCGGGATTCGCCCAGGACCGGGCAGGGGGAGGGGTAGGGTGAGAGTGAGCACTGGCTGAGGTATTTATAGCAGATGCCAGCCTGCTGGGCACCCCCCACACCCTATTTTTAGTTCCTGCCTGGAATGTGGGGGGTGGGAACCGGTAGGGAGCCACGGGGAAGGGGGCATCTGGATCTTGGCTGCAGCTTCTCCACAGACACCAGACAGTGGTGAAGGGCCCCAGCGGGCTCCCTCCGGTGGACCGGCTACTGCAGTTCCTCGTGGACAGCTCAGGGGATGGCCTGGAGGTGGTGCGCTGTGCCAACTGCGACCTGGAGTGCGGCAAGCAGGCAGGAGTGCCCGGGGTGGAGGCAAGGGTGCCGGGTCACCGGGTCCCGATGCTGGCAGAGTGTGCCCAACATGTCCTCAGAGGATTAGTCATCAGTGGATCCTCTAATACCTCCCTAGGGTACCCTGAATCCCAAATGTGGTCCCATTTTACAAATGGGGAGACTGAGGTCCAGAGTGAGTGACTTGAGCCAGTAGCCAGATAGTGGCTGAGGTTAAGGCCATTTGATTTGAGGAGAGCTTACTGGCCCTAACTGTGGAGTTGTGAACTGGCAAAGGAAAGAAGGTTTCATTGCACAGGCCTATGCCACCCCCTGAGGGCCCGCTGCTACCTGGGTAGCTGTGAGCTGCTACCTACAGCCCTAGGGGAGGAGTGACCCTGCCCCTGAGTCTAGGAAAGACTAAGGAAGCGAGGCCAGGCTTTGGGCCTTGCTGTAAAGGGCAGTCAGGACTCTAGCCTGTGGAGGCTGAACGGGTATTCCCAATTCCGGGAGGACGTCCATGCAGGAGCAAAAGGTTGGGGGTGCTGGGCAAGCACTGGGACATGTGTGACACTGGGACATGTGTGACACCACAGCACTGCAGCAGAGGTCACTGGCTGCAGGTAGGGAGAGCAGGGGAGGAAATGGCCTTGAATACCAGAGTAATACTTGGGGTCTGTGCTTGTATAGCCATGGCTGGGTCAGTGCCGTGCCCTGGACTCTCAGCTCTGGGTCCCTCCTGGGGAAGAGAACCTGCAAGCCCTTCCTCCCTTCCCCTCCCAGCCCAGTTTGGCCTCCACATGGCCAGGGTGGGCAGCCATTTGGCTATTATTGAGCGTATCAAGGAGGGCTTGAGAGATCTTCACACACACACACACACACACACACACACACACACACATTTTTGTTGCAGGTACAATGTTTTGCAAATGCAGTTTCTGCCCTCCTCCCAGCCCCATGTAACTGCCCCTCCAAGCCCATTTCGGGCACCCACCCCTTACTACGCCTCTTACCCACTCTCTGAGCCCTGGGTATATTATTAGAGCGTAGGGATTACACGAAAGGGCTGCACTGAGCCCAGTGGCTGCCCCAGGCTGTGACTGACGCACTTAGTGACACGCGGAGACTGCAGTTCCCGCGCAGGCAGTGGTCAAGCTGAACCTGCGCTGGGCCCGCAGGACGCGGAGACCACGTACTTCTGCAACACGTGCGGGCAGCCGCTGTGCGCGCGCTGCCGCGACGAGACGCACCAGGCACGCATGTTCGCACGCCACGACATCGTGGTCTTGGGCCAGCGCAGCCGTGATGTGCTCCAGAAGTGCAGTGAGTGCAGCGTGCTGGGTGGGGCCGGCCGGGCCGGGGGAGGCTGCGGAGACCTGGGCGGGCACTGCCTCAGCCCTCACTGCCGCCTCCTCTGCAGCGCTGCATGCTGAGCCCTACATCATGTTCTCCACCGAGAAGAAGTCGCTGCTGTGCATCTGTTGCTTCCGGGACATGCAGGGGTGGGTACTGGAGGGAGCCCGAGGCGAGGGTGTTGAGGGGGAGTGGAGCCCGGCTCACCCGTGGGCTCCCCGTAGGGAGAGCCGGGCTCACTGCGTGGACCTCGAGTCGGCCTACGTGCAGGGCTGCGAGCGGCTGGAGCAGGCGGTGCTGGTGAGCTCAGGGTGCACTGCGGGAAACGGCCGAGTTGGGGATGCGTCCTGGGAGGCTGAGGCTGCCTTTTCCGTAGGATGTGAAGGCCCTGCAGACGGCCACACGGGAGGCCATCGTGCTGCTGCAGGCCATGGTGGAGGAGGTGCGTCGCAGCGCAGCTGAGGAGGAGGCCGCCATCCACGCCCTGTTCAGCAGCATGCAGGTGAGGGGTAGTGGGGACGGGACAGTTACAGGCTGAGCACCCTCATCACCCAGGACCCGGTGCCCACGACATAGGGCAGGCCCCCCAGTGTCCTTGTGGAGTTGCCAGTACAGCAGGGCAGCAGGCGTTGAACTGCTTTCCAGGCGTAAATCACAGTTGCCAGGATGGTTCCAGAAGGGAATGCAGGGCCTGCCCCAGCTGGTGCTGGTGGGGGGGGGGGGATGACCAGGGAAGACTTCCCCCAGGAGGTGACATTTACGTTGAGGGCACTGGGGTTCTCAGGCAGGGGGATGCAGGAAGGAAGGCCTCTGCTCAGGTAGTGGGGCTGGCAGTTTGGAGCGAGAGCCCACCTAACCAGTGTGTGGCTGGGGCCCAGGGAGCGGGAGAGTGCTGGCAGGTGGCAGGGTCGGGCATGTGCAGTCAGTAGCAGACTGTCCCTCCCAGGACAAACTGGCAGAGAGGAAAGTGCTGCTGCTGCAGGCTGTGCAGAGGTGAGTGGCAGTGGGGTCTCCGTCCCTGCCCACTGGCCTCCATGTACCTGGACCACAGCCTGGGCCTGGATAGGTCCTGCCCCTCCCTGGGGAGCCAAACATCCAGATGGCCAACTGGTGAGGAGGGCAGGGTGGTCCAGGGCACAGGGAGGGTGGCAGAGAAGGGTCTGCGAAGCTGGTGGGGCGATGGCATGGCCCGTCCTGAGGCCCATAGGAGGGGCCGGCAGCCAGATGAGGCTGCCGGCCCCTCCCCCAGCCAGTATGAGGAGAAGGACAAGGCCTTCAAGGAGCAGCTCTCCCACTTGGCCACTCTGCTCCCCACCCTGCAGGTAAGGGGTGTTGGGGGCGGCTGGCACCCTGGCCCAGAGGGCCCCCTCCTCGGGCCAGCCGCTGAGCAGTGTCCCTCCCGCAGGTTCACCTGGTCATCTGCTCCTCCTTCCTCAGCTTGGCCAGCAAGGCGGAGTTCTTGGACCTGGGCTATGTGAGTCTCCCCAGCTCCTGCGGGGTTTCCCACTGTCGCCTCTGGGCTTGGCAGCCTGTCACCTGGACGGTAGACCAGGGGATCTCTGGGCTTACCTCCTTCCGGTCCTCCACACCATCATCTACAAGCCATTTAGGGACCCGCTGAGTACCTTTTAAAAGGACAGGGAAACCTGGAAGGGAGCATAAGCCTTCCCTCCCCCAAAGTGCGGAGTGCCTCCAGGAGTCCAACCTCCCCAACCTTTCCTGTGGATTTTGGGGAGGGGTTGTGTGGGGGTTCCCAGCCAGTCCCAGGGAAGGGTTGAAGCCTTCCCAACGGACACCAGGTAAAGTGCTGAAGACAGACGTGTCCTCGGACCGCCCCCCTCACTGTCACCACCCCCACCAGCCTGAGCACACACCCCCCCCTCCCCGCTTCACCACAGGAGCTGATGGAGAGGCTGCAGGGCATTGCCAAGCGCCCGCATCGCCTCCGACCGGCGCAGAGCAGCAAGGCGAGCAGGCGTGGGGTGGTTCGGGGGCGGGGCCGCGGGGCCTGGAGGCCGCCTCACGACCTGTCCCGCCTGCCAGATCGCCTGTGACCACCGCGCTGAGTTCGCGCGCTGCCTGGAGCCGCTGCTGTTGCTGGGCCCGCGCTGGACGGCCGGTGCCGGGGGCGGCACCAACTTGTGAGCAACAAGGCCCTCGTCAGGGTGGTAGACCACCGGGCGCCGGAGGCCCGGACACGCAGAGCGTCGCCCTTCCCAGTTCGCTGAGCCGCGGCGCTGTCGACGCCAAGAGGGAGGGAGAGTGTGCCTGCTGGGAAGCAGCCGTCGGGGGTGCCCCAAATCCGAAGACCTGGGCAGACCTTGCCCAGAGTCTGGTCAGGGGAAGACAGGGAGGACTCCGGGGCTGCCCCCAACCGCCTTGCCCCCGTGGTTAGGGCGCCTAGGCACTAAAAGGAAGGGGCAGCATGGGGCGGGGCCTGACATCGGGCCCCAGGCTGGAGAGCCCCAGACCCAGGAGGAGTTAGGAGAAACGCACGTGCCAAGCATCCAGGGCCCACTGTGTTTGAAGGTGCATGGCATTTACTCAGGACCAGCCCTGACGAAATCCTGGTGGACTCTACACATTGGCATCATTCTGGGGGTTTTAAAAAACATAGGGTTGATGTGATTGGTTTTGGGTGCAGCCTGCATCAGGCTTTTTCTGAGTTCCCATGGTGGTTCTGAGGTGAGAGGGCTGAGAGAGCATTGGGAGGTTGGGGGAGGGGAAGGCCCTCCCACCCCCACCCCCCATCTGCATCCACACTGGCTCTCTCCCCAGGCTGGCAGGGGTCTCAGGCCCCAAGGTGCTGGTGGGGCCCAGCTGCCCTTCCCCAGTGGGGAAAATGTTGGGGTCACCGGTCCAAAAGCCCACACCGCACCGGTCCATCAGCACCAAGGTGCTGCTGGCAGAGGGCGAGGATACGCCCTTCACGGAGCACTGCCGCCACTATGAGGACTCATACCGGGTGAGGGGGGCCAGGGACCTGGGGGCTGGGAAGACCCCACCCCTTCCTCATTCAGGGGCAGTGGCCAAACCTAGTCCTGGCCATCCTGGAGGCCCGCCCTTCCCTGAGGCCCCAGAGGTGGACACAGCCTACAGGAACCATGGGCAGTCACGTGGTCCCTCTCGCAGTACCTGCAGGCAGAGATGCAGAGCCTGAAGGACCAGGTCCAGGAGTTACACCGGGACCTCACCAAGCACCACTCACTCATCAAGGCCGAGATCATGGGAGACATCCTGCACAAGTCTCTGCAGGTGGACGCGCAGATCGCCTCGGAGTTCGCTTCCGTGGAGGGGCTGAGAGCAGTCTTCCAAGAGGTAGCCCCTTCCGACCACCTGACTCCCCTTCAGCCCACCTGGCAGCATATACATGGGCTACCCCAGGACAGGAAGGGGGAGAAAGGGGACCTTGGCTGGTGCCCCATGAGGCCCTTGTGTCGCAGGCTCTGGAATTCAGGTCTTTGCTGCCGGGAACCATGGGAACTGGTTGGGATGCCATGTAGCTCTGAGTAGCTAGAGGACAGAAATGCCACCAGTGGAAATTCTAAAACCTCATGCGATGTCCAATTTACTTTCTCTTTCAGATGTGGGAGGAATCCTACCAGCGGGTGGCTAATGAGCAGGAGATTTATGAAGGTTTCAGGCAACCGCTGCTGGGTGCACCCCTGTCCTGGAGCTAACCCACATACCAGCAGGGGCAGGAAGGCAGTTACCCACTAACCAGATACGAACTCGCACTCTCCTCCCCTCAGCCCTTGACTTTGCCTCACCGCTGCTAACTGGCCCCAAAACGATACATCCGAGGTCAGGATTCAGTGAGTAGAATGCCCTCACAAGTCTAACCTCACTCTTTAATTAAAGGGGTAATTATTGGAATACAGTAAAACCTTGGATTGCGAGTAACATGGTTTGTGAGTGTCCCGCAAGACGAGCGAACATTTCTAATACATTTTAACATGGTAAACGAGCAATGTCTTGCAATACGAGTAGTTTGTTTCTGGAACGAATTTTGCTCGCAACCAAGGTATTACTGTAGTTGGAGTATTTAGATGGCGCGAGGCTCGTGAGTACGAATCTAAAGCCAGCAAGACCCAATGCTCTGGCCTTGGCCCCTACAGCCCAGCTCTATGACCTCCTCCAGCTGAAGCAGGAGAATGCCTACTTGACCACCATCACCAAGCAGATCACACCCTATGTCCGCTCCATTGCCAAGGTGAAGGAACGGCTAGAGCCGAGGTGAGACCAGGGGGTATCCCAAGGGGAGCCAAGACACTTCAGAATGTGTGTGGGAAAGCTGTCACACATTAATTCAGAAGAGCCCCTTGTGGATGTCAGTGGGTTGGCTCATGAGGGTTTAATCAGGGCACCTGGGCAGACCAGGTGATGGACATCTGTGAAAACACTGAATTAGTGGGCTGTCCTGAGTTTCTGCTTGTAGGCACACAATCTAGCCCTCAGGAGTAGGTGGAAACAGAAGACACCTCCTGGGAGTATCATGAGGGTCCTCAGTTGATCCAGGCAGCAGAACACACAAGGGAGAGCAGAACTTCCTCAGTGCATGGTTAAGTCAAGGCTAGATAAGAACCTGGACCAGGCTCTCAGTTCCATACATGGGCATCAAAATGGAGCTAGCGGCAGAGGGAGCTTGGTGCCAGGTCCTCAAGGTGTCTGTCTCTTGAGTCACTCAGGCCCAAGGTGGGCTGGTTGCCCAGTCGTCTGGTGCACAGCAGTCAGCCTGGGCTCTCCCTCCACCACCCTCCTGGGGATTCTACTTGCCTTGCTTCTGTCAGATCTCCTGTTTCCTATACCCTGGGTTTCCTCTTTCGTGGTTTGGTGGAGCCCGTCCCTCAGTAGCTCCTTTAAAAAAGAGTGCATAGGAGGTGTGTTTTGGACAGCACACATCTGAAATGTCAATTCTGCCTCCACACTTGACTGGTAGTTTTGCTGGGTATCAGATTCTAGATTGGAGATGATTCTCTTTTGAAGGCATCATTCTGTTGTCCTCTAGCTTCCAAGGTTGTTTTTGAGAAGTTTGAATGCATTCTGATTCTTAATCCTTGTAATGTGACCTACTGATTCTCTTTAGAAGCTTGTGGAATCTTCTCTGCTCCCAGTTCTGAAATTTTCACATTGGTGAGGGCCTATTTCCATCCATTAGGTTGGGTACCTGTGGGTCCTTTCAATCTGGAAAGTGATGTCCTTCAGCTTGGGCATATTTCTTTTTGAACTTGTTAATTGATTTCTCTCTACTTTTTCTAGAATTCTTATTATTGTCTATTGGCCCTCTGATTTAACTTACCCTTTTGGTTCTGTTTTCCATCTCTTTGCCTTTTTGCTGTACTTTCTTTGGAAAATTCGTCACTTATCTTCCAACCATTCTACTGAGTTCATTTTTAAAGAAAATTTCCTAGAGCTCTTTTTAAATTTAAAAATTGTTCATCTGTAGTTTTTTTGTTTTTAATTTCCAATAACTTTTTTTGTACTGATTGTGTGTGTGTGTGTGTGTGTGTGTGTGTGTGTTTAAAGATTTTATTGGGGAATTGGGGGAGGGGAACAGTGTTGAGGAATTGGGGAAGGGGACCAGCCAAGTTGTTGTTCTTCAGTCTTCGTTGTGGAGGGCGCCAGTCACCATCTGGCTTCCCGTTGGCAGCTCATGGCCTCTAAGCTCAAGGTGCTGTGTTCAATCTTAGTTGCAGGTGGGCATAGCCACCATCCCATGCGGGAGTCGAACCTGGCAGCCTTGTTAAGAGCACACGCTCTATCCACTGACCCATCCCGGACCCATCCGGGGGGCAGCTCAGCTCCAAGTGCCAAGTTCAGTCTTAGTTGCGGGTGGGCGTTGCCCACCATCGAACAGGCAGTCTTGTTGTTACACCAGCTGAGCCATCCTGCCACCTGTTGGCAGTTCAGCAACAGCTCAGCTCAGATGCAGCGTCACTGGCCCAAGTGGGAATCGAACCGGTGGCCCTGTTGCTCAGAGCCCACGCTCTTAAGCCAACTGTTAACCCACTGAGCCACTCAGCCAGCCCCTGATTGTTTTATTGTTGTTGTTTAGTCTTCTGTTGTTTCATAGACATGATGTCTTACCTGAGGCTGACAGGTGTTGGTTTTGTGTTTTAATCTCCTCCTTTAAGTCTGTTCCCTCCAAGTTACTTTTTGTTTAGCTTTCTGTCTTCCACGTTAAAGACTTTTCTCAGATGTCAGGAAATCTTGGATTATCTGCTCTATTAGGATGGGGGGTAAACTGGAAGCTGAGCCACGGGTGGCACTTCACTGCAGGGCCGGGTGGGCAGGGCGTTTTACTTTGTTCTCTTGAATGCCCCAATGTCAGTTTTAGGTCTCTTCTGTTTCCTTCCTGGAAGATCACTGTATGGAGCACTGTATGCATACCTGGTTTTCAGTTATTCTCCCCTGTGGGTTCCACCCTCTCAGAGACTTACCCTTCAGACTCCTGTGGGGTGGGGGATCGGCAGCTGCCCAGGGGTAAGGATCTTGACCATCACTGTCCTCCTGTCTCAGTCCCACCCTCCCTGCTGCTGCCAGGTCCTGAGGGTTCTGTGGCGTGAACGTGGCCTCAGCTTGCCCTGCTGTGCACTTTGAGCTAAGGTTTCTCGGGTCTGCCAAGTTAGTCACCACTGACCGGCATGCTCTCCAGCTTCCAAAACTGGGGGGTTATCGTTGCTTGTTCTCATCATGGAGAGGATTTCCCCCCTTGTTGTGCTAGTCCCTTTACTAAAGTTTTAGTGACTTTGGGGAAGAAGGGAAATGTGTGTGTGTGTGTGTGATCGCTACATTAATCCAGAACTACCAAGTTACCTGGTGACTATTTCAACATGTCACATTGAGAGGTTAAACTTGCACCATTTCAATCAAATCCCTGTGTACCCAGGAGTAGTTGTGTGTTTCCTCCTGACATTCGGAGTAATTTATTCCAGATACTGTGTGCTTCACTTATAAAACCTCAAAACCAGGCGGAGCTAACCTGTGGTGTTAGCAGTTGGGATGGTGATGGATTACCCTGGGGGGCTCTGGGTGGAGGTGACGTTCTGGGGCGCCTACCCAGCTTTGTTTATGCTGTGCACACGTACAAAGCCACCCTCTCATTTGCAGGCTTTCCTGTGTGTGCTGTGCTTCAGTGAGGGGGTAGCTTCAAGCAGTGTGCTCCTTGAGGGGCGGCTCGCGGGCAGAGCCGCGTCTCTGTAGGGAAACGGTGTCCGCGGTCAGCTTCAGCAAAGGGAGAGGATCCTGGGCTCCGGCTCGGGAGGTCTGGGGGAGGGAGGCCGTCTGTGCCTCCCTTTGCTTTCCAGGTGTCTGGCATGGCCTCCTCCCCTCCCCCCGCTGGCAGCCCACTCCAGCCCCAGCCACGGCAGCTGCTCTCGCTCCCACCCTCTTGGCCTCTCAGCAGCACTCATGAGCGTGGACCGGGTCTGTCACCACACTCTTCTCTTGCTTCTGAGACACCCCACGCTCCCAGTTTCCCTCCTGCCTCTCCAGCCCTTCCCTTTGTCTCTGGCTGGCCCTGCCTCCTCAGCCCAATGCCCAAATGTTAAGGGGTTTCCCCTAGTCCCCTGGCTTTAACCCCCCACAGCAACGCAGAGAACCCCAGCCCTTCTCCCGAGCTCCAGACTCATCTGCAGCTGCCCTTTCGCAGGCTCTCTGCTTGGCTGTCTCAAGGGCACCTCACACCCCACAATGGCTGAACTCGATTTCCTCCCCGATCCCACTTTACCTCAGTAAATGTCACCACGGTCACCCAGGTGCTCGGGTCAAAAGCCTGGGGCACATCCTGGATTATTCCTTCCCCTCGCCCCCATCTCCAGCCACCCCCAAGTCCTGCTGACTCGATTGTCTCAATCTATTTGCTTTGTCTCCACTGCTGCTCCCAATCCAAGCCACCATCCTCACCACCCCCCACCCTGGCCCTCAAAAATGTCACACAGCCAGTGGTCATTTTGAAGCCTGTACTTCCCATCACACCAGAGCCTGACGGCCCTGTCGGGGTCCTCCCTGCCACCTCTGCCCACACCCGTCACAGAGGCCTTTCAGTTCCCCACGAAGCTAGACTGGCTCCCACTTTCCAGCCCCTTACCTGGAATTGTCTTCCTTCAGGCTGCCCCACGGACCCTGGGTACTCAGCTCTCAGCTGGAACGTTGCCCACGAGACTTTCCCAAACCACCCTTTTAAAGCAGGTCTCCACTCACTGTCACTCCCGGCCACCTAGCCCCGCTGTACCCCCTTCCCGACCTTGGTGGTCTCCCTGACCGCACTGTAGCTTCCATGAGAGCAGGGCCTGGCCTCTCTCATCCAGGACCGCAGCCCTCAGGAAATCCCGGAGGACCGAAGCCCGAGGTGGGCCCTTGAGTGTTTGCTGAGGTTGGGTTTTGTGCAGCGAGCTTCGGGAGGTACAGTGGGCTGGCTCCGCTGCCGTCCAGACTCCCAGGATCTGCTCGCTCCCACAGGTTTCACGTGCCCGTGGACGAAGAGTCACAGCGCCTACAGAACACCTGTGACGACAGCACAGATGGTGAGACCCCGGCCAGGTAAAGCACGTCTTTCCAACCTGAGCGGGCAAATGATTTCATCTCAGAGACAGATGCAGATGACATAGACAGACCCCCAGTTTTCTTTTGCCCTTTGGTCCCAGTTTACTGCTGGCAGCTTGGCCTCCATTTGTAAAATGCTGCATCAGACAGGTTTGTCATCTGGATGGTGACTTCAAACAAGTGACATCGTAGGTGACAGACATGACTTTGATAGACACGACCCACATCATATAACCAATCGATGGCGTGGTTGCTGCCTGCACCACTGACTACGCCGAGCTGCCGACACTGCGCCTGGGTACTTACACCACGTGACTCGAATTCACTTCAATGAGCAAAAGTGACGGAGGATTATTTCTGTGTGTGAAAGCATTACTATTCATTGGAGCCACAGTGTTTGCCCAAATACTTGCCAGAGGGAGGAAAGAATGTGCTGTATCAGACACGTCCCTGTCACAGGCTGGCCTTTCAGTATTGCACTCTCAGTAAAATGTGTTAGTCACAGGCAGACAGCGGAGCTGGAGGCAGTCAGGTGGGAGAGCCCAGAGGGCCTGGGCAGCTCTGCTGCTGTGGTCAGTGACGGACAGAACCTAGTCTCCCCACCCCGCCCCCCACTTAGCTCAGATGCTTCAGGGGAGTGTCAACTCAAAGCTCCCTCCGTCACCACAAGCTGCTGAAATGGCCTGAACTGTTGATGTTTGGGCAACTAAACATCAGAAATGAGAAAACCACCCTGTAGGAGCCCATACGGTTCTGGTGGTCACCTGGTGCCTTCCAGAAAGGCCTTCTGTTCCAAAAGCCTTGGCCCAAGTGGAGTTTAGTGCTGGGACAGTGAAACGGGGGTCATGTCGTGGGGTGGAAGCGCTCATGTTCAAGTGTTTCTTTAGGAACAATCCAGTAAGTGTCACAGAAAAGAGAGAGAGGACCTCGGAGCCAAGAGGAAACAGCAGGGCTCTGAACAGCCTCACAGAAGAGCCTCCACTGAACAACAAAGACCCTCACAGACCCAAACAGAAAACTGGGGGTGACGCCCCCCCATGGAGGGACCGCCCAACTTAGCAAATGGGGCTGGTCCCATGGGCGGGGGCATTTTACAACATGCACATCAAGACTGCGGCGTTAAGAAAAGGGGTATTCCCATGATGATTTTTAAAACGGTAATCATTTATTAGCAGTAAAACCCAGAAAGTCTCTGACAGGTCGTTCCCGGTGATGGGGACATCCCAGTCCCCATGGAAAACGTAAATGAGCGAACACGCAGCGTCTAGCCCCTCCCTCACCCAGCATTGCCCCATGCCTGTGCATGGCCCCGTGCCCAGATAACCTATGTACCTGTCAGGACGAGCCTCTCTGACTTTAGATGCCAAGACTCCGCCCACCGCTGCGATGCACCTGCCCTGCCTCAAAGGAATCCCGTTTCTCCTGAACCACAGCCCCTCTGGAAAGTTCACCCAGCCATCTGCGCACTGACCTGTGCTCCAGCTTTCTCCCTTCGCGGCCAGGACTGAGCTCAGAAAGCAAATGGAAGGCACCTGGCAGCATGCATGACAGGAGACGGTCCCATCGCAGCTTCACTAACTCTCCCGGGTTCCGCCCATTGACAATGAAAGCACGAGTCAGCTCCCTTTCTCTACAAGTTTTCCACTCCTGCACAAATACCCTTTTAATCAAGGGGAACTTAGTAAATGCTTTTTAAAAGTTAACCTGAATGACCTAAACTTTACAGTGTTGGAGGCAAAATGATGCCCAGTCACATTTTCAGCAAGTATCCATCTTGATTCAGTGCTTCAAGCAGCGAATGGCTTCTCCGTGCCAGTGGGTCTGTGCGCCAATACACTGGCACATCCCTGGTCACCACCCAACGCCCCTGCTATTGGTGTTCCCACGCCAAAGCATTACAACTTCCACGGGACCCTAAAGGGCAGGAGGAAGTGCCTGCTGACGGGAAGTCCCGCCCATGTTCACCCCCAGGAAACCTGCAAACTGGTGAGAGGAATTCAGCACTGGGTCGGGTAGGCAAAAGACATCCGGTTTGATGCTGTAGGTTCTGGACATTCCTTAGCTGAAAGGGGCGTGACCTTAGAGTTTCTACATCCCATACAATCACACTATTGTTCATAGTGAAATCAAGTGCAGTTTTATTTAAGAATTGGAAAGAATCAGTATCTGTGAAAAGAAAATCCAATTTAAAATATTTAAATAAACATTTCTGCATGTAAAAAGAAGAGTAGAATAATTACTCCATTAAGGAACTCTCCTAGCTATGGACAGCTTCCCAAGAGCAAGCGCCTGGGACCACTCCCAGGGGCCAGTCTTCCAGGCCCAGGGCAGGCGTCAAGCTTTCATAGCAGTGCAGAGAGCAAGCGTCTCCCACCATGCTGGCGATGCCGAGGCCGCCTAACCTCACCAGGTCACTACAGAAGCAAAATCGGTGGGAGCGCTCAACTACCTAAGGCAGTAAGAAAGTGCAGAGAAGGGACGGGCTTGCGGAGGGACTGCTACCAAAATGAGCTGTGGCCAAGGCCCTACGGAGCCTCACCTACTGACGCAAGTATTGGCTTAGGGCTATTTCCCCCGTCGTGTCATTACCCAGAGTGTGAAATGGATGGAAGGGATTCATAGTTTACTTTTAGGCTCAAGGAGTGAGTCACGCCAGTGCCGGACGGTGGGGTACGCTGCCTTTTGCTTTCCGCAAGGCTCACCCTACTACTCCCTGTCCTGTAAAGTGCCATTCTCAGCCCAGCCTGCAAGTCCTTATAAAATCCTTGTAAAAAAAGGTTTCATTTTAGACCGCTTCAAAAACAGCTTTGTTCTGTGCAGTGCCTATGTTCCACTTAAGAATCTCCACTTTAAAACCTGCAGTGGAAAACCAAATCTCCTGACAGTTTCTTAATTTGAGGGAACTGGGGACGTGGCCTTTACCCAAAAAGCTTTCGGGAATAACAGGAAGCATGTACCTCATTAACCTGATTCTCTGCCGTGCACGCTGTCACTGCTAAATTTATACAGTTAAAAATAATCTGAAGATCTCAGGACCAGATGAAAGTCAATCACTTGCCAAACCCTGCCCTAAATAGTTCATCTTTTATCCCTAAGTAATTGCCGACTTCTGCCCTGGGATTACAAATCAGGGGGTGAGCGTTCTCACCACCCCCACCCACGACTTGCTCTTTAAAGCAGAGCAGAATACCTAGCCTCAGGTGGCGAGCCCCAGGTGGCATAAGGGCAGCATGTCACTGCCCAACACCAAGGCCTATCTTCTGAGCACCTGGCACTGCAGGCAGGTAAGTGGAGGAAGGTCAAATCCACCACCTGTGACTTCCCATCCACAAAGCCAGGGCCATCCTCAGCGGCTCGCCACCTATTCAAAAGACAACTTCACAGCCCCCAGAAGTGTCAGTAAAGCTGAGTCTGCTCGATGAAGCAAGAAAGAAGTTGCCCTCAAGGACCCGGGGATGGCTGCCAAGCCCCAGCCACCCCTTTCCATTTTGCAGTCCTACTAAGTGGCGTCTACTTAGCTCAGCATGGTCTGCAGAACAGTTTAGAACCGATCCGACTCGAGTTTGCCAAGTTAAGTGCATGCTGACATCCCACCGGGCGTGTTCACGCCCGAGGAAGCCACTGCCCAGGGCTCTGGCAGTGGCCTCGCCAGTCTGACTGCACCACCCTCCTGAGGGCTGCCGCTTGGGTCTCGCCCTCTCACACCAGCAAGCGTCATGCCGGAAATCAACAAACCCGTAAAGCTCTTTGGTACATACAATAAAGAAAAAATGAATTAGGCCATGAACTCTAGAAATCAGTACTATTTTGAGTTGGTAAAATGCTCTTTAGAACACGTTTCCAGTACCTGGTACAGGTAACCAAGCGTCCACTTTTGGGTAACGCTCATACAGTGTAGATTCCATGTATGTCATCTCTCTCATCTGTATGTTGAAAACATTGGACGGCCTTCTTCTAAGTCTTCACGACACCCGTGAGGTAGGTGGTATTGACCCCATTCTACAGATGGGGAGGTCTAGGCACGGAAAGGTGACGTGGCTCCTGGGAAGCCGCGTGGCGTGGCGTGGCATGGCGTGGCAGCAGGGCTGTGCTCCGGCCAGGGGCTGCCGCTGCTGTCACATTCACATACCCTTGTTGCCACCACAGACTGCATGGAAAGGGGGCGCACTGAGACCAAGTTCCCATCCAGTCCAGAATTAAACACGGGTCTTTAAAGTGTATGTTTGACTCAAAGCCAACCACTCTCCCCAAATGTGAAAAACAAAAATATGACTAAATCTCAGTTGGGATTATTTGCTCTATTTAAGACTCTCGAGTCGACTTGGTTGAATTTTGTAGTTGTGATCGCTCTCAAACCCCTGGAAGACAGTTTGAAATGGCATCAGGGACGATGAAGTTTTGAGAACAGAACATAGAAATCAACAGTTAATAGATTTAAGTGAATACATAGAACTATAGGCTATGGTAAAATGCTAAAATCCCAAATAAATGGAGAGCAGTATTTCTCAGCGGTTAACTGTGGCTTGCACAGAGCAGGTGCTCAGTAAGAATTTCTGGGATAAAGGACAAATGACACATCTTTGACATGTCTGTCACTGATAACAGACCCTCTTAGAAGAAAAGCAGGACCCCAGAAAAGCCACAGGGGCCCACGGTCTCCCTGGCCCTGAGTGCCCTGGTGACACAAAGCCACTTGGCCAAATTGGTGTCTGGGTGTCGATGCTTCCTTTCTGCGAAGCAAAAGTTGGGGCTATAACCACCAAGTCCCCTTTGAATTTATATACTGCTATTTATAAAAAATAGATATGTAAATACGATTAAATATAGGAAGGGCCAAAGTGCCTTATAAGGAAGTGTCTTTAAAACTGTAGATGCTCATGCACTTAAGGACAGAAAGGAGGAGGTTAAGCTGTGCCGTGTGTGATTTCCGGTTAAAGATTGTGAATGTGTTTCTAACTCTAAAAAGCACTGAAGCCCACAGCCCCCCTCCTGCTGAAGAAGTCTTACTCAGGTAATGAGTCTGCCTCTCCCTAGGGGTCTTGGTTTCAGCCTAAATGCACAGTGGCCTCGAAGGGATGGCATGTGGCCTGGGCTCACACCGGGCACTTCTGGAGGGCACTGTTGAATATTGCTGTTGTTTGCTCCTTGTCCATCTTAACCCACATCTTCGCTTGATTCAGCCCACGACAGATTGCTCCGGTGGTGGGGTCCTCTGGTCCGAAGGCCTTCTGACCATCTGGTCTTGAGTGGTATTCCAGAAGAGTAACTGATGACATATAAAATGATTAAGAAAAGTCATTCTGCAGAGCGGCCAACCAGAGGCCCTTCTGTCCTGGGCTGCACGGAGTGGGAGGCCCCCTGGCCCCCGGCATGTCATAGCTCCACCTTGACCCCTTTTATGAAAGGCAGGCCGGTGGGGACCCGCTTCTTATACTCCAGGTACTCCTCTCCAAAAAAGTGAATTAATGAGATCTCCTCCTCTTCTGTCCGATCGCGGAAGAATCGCCACACTGTCAGCGCGTAGCCAACGCCACAGACGGGGTTGCACAGCATCACCTGACAGGGAACACGAAGTTGGTCAGGGTCGGAGGGACCACTGTGTACGTCAGCGGCACCTGCTTCTGCCAAACACCCACAGGACTTCCTGCCAAGGGCCCAAGAGACTCTCGCAATAAGATTAGAGTCCTTGAGCGCCACAGCCAAGGTGCCGTTAAGTGAAATCACACTGTCACTTTCACATTAGAACTAAACACTCATCACTGTAGCTTTTTCTCATGCACTTTTCTGTTGTTCCTCTTACCTGAAGAATATCTAAACATTAAAGGGACACATCGACCTCCTGGATTCCAACCCTCAGGTCGGGGTGACAGCAGCTCCTCCTCCAAACGCCCCGGAGTGAATGCCCATTCGTTCAGGGCACACTACCCACCCACATGGCTCCCAGGCCGGTGCTTTCCTGTTGCTCCCACCTCACAGCTGCCTGGCCCCCTGCCTCCGGCCCCCACAGCCTGCCCCTGTGCACCCAACACACCGCTACCTAACTGAGCTTCCAAATCATTTCCTTCATCAAACCCCCTCCGCCCCACAAAGCCCGCCTCCTTGACCTGGCGGGGAAGCAGCACCTCAGCCCACTTCTTCCAGCCCCCCTTCCCCCACCCCGGCTGTGTCCGCTTTGGCTGCCTCTTGCCTCCCTTCTCATCGCACCTTCGACAACGTCTTGCCCACTGACCCATCGCCTAACAGTCCTTCCAGGCAAGAGCCTCACTCAGCTCGGGGAACCCACTAACCCACCCCCCAGACACGTGTCTTCCCCAAGTGGGTGACTTTCACTGAGAACCAGGCACACCCCTTCAACTTCTCATCCTCACCACTTTAGTCCCCAGCACAGGCTCAGCCCTTTACAGCCAACAAAGCCGTTCGACACCCGCAGCAAACCTGAGGTGCCGCTGCTGTGCCCACTTAAGTCGTGAGGAAAGGGAGGCCAAGTGGTCAACATTAGAGCTGCAGCTGGCCCGGCCAGCGACCCCAGAACCTGTGCCCGCACAGCCGGCAGGCACGTGCAGCTTCTCGGCATGCCCTATGGTGGGATTTCTGAATCGCAGGCCACAACCTGTTACTGAGCGATGAAATCAATCTGTGCATCATAAACAGCATTACAAAGAATAAGATAGAAAACAGGCTGTTTGGTATACTTTGAGGGTAAGTGTTGTTCCGGGAAAGGCCTGTCCTGTTTTTACACACACGTGTGTGCTGGTCACAGTGTACAGAGATCTATGGTCAAAGAAGTATAAAGTCTCTTTGGTCCAGGGCCGGCTGAGTGGCTCAGTTGGTTAAGAGCTCGCTCAAGAGTTTGAGCTCTGAGCAACAGCGGTTCGAGTCCTGGCCCGAGCTGAGCTGCCAACAGGTGGCAGGATGGCTCAGCTTAAAAAAACAAACAAACGAACAAAAAAAACTCTTTGGTCCTTTAGGTGCCCAGTTAGCATTTATGGCAAATTGCATGATTCATCTATAATCGATTTGTTCCCAGGGAATATGATTGTTAATACGGGAGCCTTAAGTTTCAGAAAAGCAAGTTTTAAAATAAATGCTATGCAGTCACCTGCCCCTACACCACTGGGGGCGTCACCAGAGAGTCCCCATGGACAGCACATTTTGGATGGAATGCCTAGGGGCCCAGACTGGATTTTCCCAAAGAGGTGGTGAGTTTTCTAAGCTCTCCTCATGTTCTCTGGCCAAGTCCTCCTAGGACCAAGAGAACAGGTTCAAGAGACAGCTGTCAAGAAACAGGCTCAGGCTGCAGCTTGAGACAGAACCTCTGTAGCTCAGGTTTAACCTAATACATGACCTTGGCCTCATCAATAGCAGCTTCTAATGAAAATCAGCTAAGCTACCACTTGGGTAGCAGCCCCATCTCTGTCCTCACCCCACTGAGGGTGCTCTGGATCAAAGTTAGAGGCAGAGAAGGGGTACGGCAGATGGGGTAACAGCACTTAAAATCACCAAGAGCTTACAAATTTAGGATGCCCAGATTTTAAGCAGCTGGTACAAAATGTTAAGGGCTAAATCAGTTCTTTCAACTTTTGTTTAGTTATCCATTGAAACATGACAGGGAGCACATGGACCTATATAAAGAGGACCAACAACCTTGTGAATACACTGAAACCCACTGAATGGTTCACTTTGAAATGGTGACTCTTATGGTATGTGAATTATACGTCAATTGAAAACATGGAAAAAAACTTAAAGACCAGCGTCATGTCTGATACTATACCTGGGTTCCAATACTCCAGTAAAACCACCCAACGTAAGAAGGATGCCGGAACCAAGCGTACACTCCACTTGTCACCAGAGTATGGGTTTCCGATTTTTCATTCTGCACCACGTGGTTGAAATTGGAACCAGCTGTAAACATTGCCGCTTTTCTCAGACATTCTCCAAAGACCACCATCAGCAGGCCTGTGGCACTGAGCCAGGTGATCTGCTTCAGTTCTGCAGGAGACATGGTGACAAATGGCAAGTGAAGGCACTAGACTGTCGAGTTCCCCCTCTGGATGCTGAAAATTAGCCTGTTTTTCCAAAGACAGGAACAGTAGAAACCATGCTAGTGGGCAATTAGCATTTGTCATCCCATTAAAATGTTAAGTATAGGCAAAACACCTTCCCCTAAGTTGTACTGTTCATCCATTTTCTTTAAAGTGCCAACAAGCCCATTAGCGTGTCATGGCAATGAGCGGATGGGCTGTCAGTCCACGTCCCCCTGCCAGATGCTCCTGTCCTTCCCTTGGGGATGAGAACGGCTAAGTGAAACAGAGAAGGACCCAGTGCTTCCCACCTTGGCCCTTTACTGAATCCTGGGAGCTACATACGTTTCACTTAACTTGCTGTGGAAAGCCCAACTTGAGAGTAGGTTCCCAATGCAGAAGGCTTTTGCTAGTAAACTCTTCATATGAAATTTCTCAAGTCACAGGAAATGAACAGGTCCACGTCTCCTCTGACTATAAAATTATGGTTACAGCTATCAAAGGTAGGGATTTCCTATCAGATGGTGCATTACGTTATGCAAGGCTTAAAGCAAAAGGTCAACGTGTCCTCGATTCAAAATCCAGAAGCGGAGTTCACAAGCCCAGCTTCGTGAGGACAGAAGCCCGGGCAAAGTCATTCGGGGAGATTAGACCCGAGAGGTGAGCCCCCATCACCGTCCTCAGGCCCGCGTGAAAGCCCCTCCAGGGGGAAGAGCAGGGGTTGGGGTTAGGGTTAGGGTTAGCAGGGTACACTGACCTGGCCAAAAGATGTTTTCAAGTGTGAACTCTATCCAAGAAGAAAGAGCAGCGACTGTGTACTCCAGACTGTGATTCAGGAGAAAGGAGTCCAAGGACAGACTTTTGGGATTGTTGACTGCTGTGACTAAGTACTCAGAATAGTGGAATAACGACAGGGAACACATGTACCTATTTAAAACAAAAAGAAATGCAGAGGTAAATTGGGGCAAGAGAATCAACTAGCCCTACCTCAAAACACAGATTTGGGCCTGCGGCACTGTCCCTGAATTCTAGAGGTTCTACTGTCACGCGAGGGCGGACCTCAGGCACCCATATGCACCACTATTCCCTTAGGTTTGCAGAAAGTGAGGTTTTAATGGGACTACACTTTCGAATGTCATAAACAAAAAGCAAACATAGGTCAGGAAGGCATTAGGGCCCTTCAGCCTTTTTAAAATGATGCTACACATGAAGGAGGGAAACAGCAAAAAATAAAATAAAATAAAAATAGTGATGTATGTCAAATACAAAAATTCAGAAAACTGAAATAATCCCAGCCACACAGGATTAGATGGCTCACAGTATTCGTAATAGGAGATAAAGCTTTTTACCTTGAAGCCACTGGTTCAAATCCAGGTCAGGGACTAGACGGCTCAAGGGCCTGAAATCAGTGTAGGGAAAACTCCTACACTGGCCATGGGGGACGCGCTAGATGGGACCTAACAAAAACTAGAGACGGAAGAGGCCTGCGACCATGAGCCGGAGCCTCGCCCCTTCTCGTCACGGAGGAACTGTACCCTCTTCCAGGAAGGGCTCATCACATTAGTGAATGTGTCACAGCAGCTGCAGCTTTGGGGAAGGACACCTGTGTGTGTGTGTGGGTGGGGGGGGTGCCAGGGAGACCTGTTTCCGCCTGGGACAGGAGCAACTGCTGGGCACAAGTTCTCGAGGTCCGGAATGTGGGAATCCGGGTGGAAGACAGAGACCTCACGTCCACAGGATCCGAAACGGCCTTCAGCCAGTCAGAGATGAGACACAGAGAGGACGACGTTCCACCACTGACCGCTCTGATCTGCCCACTCTAGCCTCAAACCCACTGTTCCCAAAGTGCTTCTTACCAGCCAAAGTGATTCCAAGAAGACTGGCTAAAACTTAGCAGCACCCCGCAGCCAAACACGAAGCCAAGGAAGCAAGCCCGGATGGCTATCTAAAAGGGACCCAAAAGAAGCTCAGTTACCTGACTGTTCTCGGGGCACACGTCTTACTTCCTGGGATAAGGAGGCCACGGGCAGGCACACAGTTTGCTCAGAGGTTAAGAGGGTGGTGAGGCACCGGGGCCTGGGTTCAAATGCGCCCCCACCGCTCTCTGCCTGTGTGGCCTTGGGCAAGTTACTGAACCTCCGGGGACCTCGGTTTCTCCATCTACATAATGGGGGTAATAACAGTGCCTACCTTTTAGAATTGCCCTGAGGAATACCCCCTGGAAAGCACTTAAGAGTAAACGCTGTAAGCTTTAGCTGCCATTACCATTGTTGTTCCTGTTATTATTCAGGGTTGTGGGTAAGAGGCGCGAACCCAGTTTACCGGCAGGATTCTCCCAAGTCCACGCAGGAAATCCTGCCGGGGCGCCCGGGGCTCTGACCCCGGGCCACCTCCACATAACTGCGGGGCCTCTGACCTCAGACTTGGCCGCAGGTAGGTCTCCGCACCTTAAATTACACACGGGAACTCGTGGACTCGCTCACTCCCCACCCCACTTGCACACGCCGCAGCTGCCCAACCGCACCAACTGCAATTTCCTACCCGCTGCACGGGGTACAGGGTGCCCCGTGGCCCCGAGCCTGGCGAGGCGGGGTCCCTCCTGTCATCGCAACTCGCAGCTAAAGAGCAAGCCGGAGGACGGAGCCCCGCTCCCGGCCGACCCCGACCCGGACCCCAGGGGGAAGGTGCCCACGCGCAGCGCCCAGCCCGCCCGGCCCTCGCCCGACCCCGGCCCGCACCTGGTAGCGCGGCGGCCGATAGAGCAGCAGCAGCAGCGCGTTGAGCCCGGCCACGTAGAGCGCCAGCCCGGTGCGGCCCTGCAGGCCGGCGCGCGTGAGCAGCGGCAGCGCGAGCACCGAGGCGCCCAGCAGGAAGGTGGCGAGGCTGAGGCGCGCCTCGGAGCCCCGCGGAGCCCGCGCCGCGCAGCCCGCCATGGCGCCGGGCGGCTGAGCAGCGGGCGGCGGCGCCGGCGGTAGCCAGGGGAAACCCGCCCGCCACGCCTGCGCACTGCGCTGCCGACGCCGGCCGGGAAGGAGCGGCCCGCCGCCCCCGAGCTCTCGCGATACCACCTCGCCGCGGGGCTGGGGCCGGGATTTGGCGGGAGCGCCCCGCCNGGGGTCTGGGAGGGGGTGTCCCGGGCTGCGCCCCTTTCCCAGGGCCCCCGGCGGGCAGCCCTCCCTCGCCCCCGCCCCGCAGCCGCGCCACGGTGGGAAGGTCGCAGTCGGCAGCGGCGCAGAGCAGGCCCCTCGCAGCGAGGAGAATCGCTGCCCCGCCCCGGCCCATTCAGCGGGCTGGGGACGCCCGGTTCCCACCGGCACAAAGCACGCCGGGTCCCGCCCCGCGGGCGAGGGGCCTCCAGCCAACTCCCACCATGTACCCTCCGGGCTTCCACGGATTCCCACCCCCGACGCACGCGGCGCGGCCTTCCTGCGGGCGCTCGCTGCAACACCCTCCCCTCTAAGAGGCACCTCCCAGAGCCGCCCTTGCCCAACCGCCCACTCTGAGCTCTGGCCCCGCCCAGAGAGTTGCTCCGCTCACCCGACGCCCTGCGGCGCCGGGGTCTTGGGGCGACCCTGCGCGCTCTCAGGCCAGCTTGAGGGCTGCTGGAGCGAGCCGAGCTTCTTTCGTGGGAGAGTTCACCCCTTCCCATTCCGCAAAGTCAGCGGCCCTGCAGAACCCCCGCCTCCGGACCTCTGGGGCCGCAAGGGAGCTCACAACCCTCAACAGCCTTCGGAGCGCTCAGCACCTGTTTATTCGTCTGAAAATGAGGTCATTGCTGTGATTGGACTCTAGCCGGGAAGTCCCGGCATGCGAGGGGCAGGGGAACTGGGGATCTCTCGCAGGACCCAGGAAGAGAGTTTGGTACTTCCACCAGCTTGAAATTCAGAATAAAGACATTGTGAACCTATATACAGAGACTACAAAGGTTCTAATTCAAGCACAATGTCTACTCAAATGCATCTCTCTTTTAAAATTTTATTTTATTGGGGAATTGGGGAAGGGGAACAGACAAGTTGCCGTCCTTTTGTTCTTCAGTCTAGTTGTAGAGGACATCTCTTCACTGGTTCATGTTGGTATTATCATTGCCCTCTTCTAGGGTGAGGCAGTCGCTCGCTGGCCATTGGACAGCCGCTGACAGCGGCTCATAGGAGGCTCACGCCTGCTGCCTGCCAGCCCCACTATAGCCTTCGCCAGTGGCCGGCAACTCAGCAGCCCAGCTCCAGGTCGAGCTGTTGTTCACCATCTTAGCTGTGGAGGGCGCAGCATCACTGGCCCTCATGTGGGATCCAAACTGCGGTCCTGCTGCTCAGAGCTGGTGTCCCAAGCCATCTCTTAACCAACGCGCCTCCCAGCCAGCCCTAAATGCATCTTGCTCAACTACAAACACCAACTTCCTATAAAACATTTCTTGTTTTGGGCTGCCCCTGTCTTGCCCGTGTGCTAAAACCGTCCTGGTCAGACTACCGGGAGAGGGCAGCCCGACTCCCCGACTCCACTCAGTGGGCTCACCGGAGGGGTAGGGGTCCGGTCTGTCCCGGGGCTGCCTTTCGGGTCTCAGCTTCCCACCGCGCTGGATGTGAATGGCGGTGGTAGGGCCACGGCCCTAATACTTCTTCCGGCCACCAGGTGGCGATCCTGCACCGCAGACCCAGGAGTTGGCCTTCAACTTCCAATCTAGGCCAGCGGGCTGGTCACGGAGCACAACAAATCCCGTGGTCCCAGGACCTGCTACGACTCCCGTCCTTCTCACTCTCCAGAATAAATCTCACTGGGGCTAGCGGCCCCTGAAGCCATCCCCGAGGTAGAGGCTGTCACCTGCCCTCATAGGGTTTCTCCTGCTTTTAGGGCCTTGGTGCCCACCCCACTCACTCTGCGTGGTGTCTCAGCACGTGCGAGAAGTAAGGGGCAAGTCTGACCCAAAGAAATGATGCACTAGCGGAGAAATTCAAGACCCAGAGGGAGGCATTTGGAGGCAGCTGACCAGGGGTATTATTAGATTCTAGAAAGATGGTTCCATGAAACCAGCCTAGAAATGCTGGGTGCAAATCATAGGAAGTTTTTATTGGCTTCTGTACAGAAATGCTTAGTTGTCAAAAAACTACAAACGGATCCCTGGCTTTGGGCTGGGTGGTATGAAGACAGAACTCCCCACTATGCCCAGGGTGAAGCTGCTTAATGCAGCAAACAGGCCTGGAAGCTGCACAAAGTGAGAGGGGGCCCCAGGGTCCTCCCTCCTCTTTATTTTTGTAAAATCCAGGACTAGAGGGACTTCGGGGTACCATGTCCCCCCTGCAAGTATTGCCGTTGGATATGAAATACAGAGTGAAAACCCAAGGTGACAAATAGGCCAGCTTGAGGGGGGACAGTGGCTAGCTGATGACCTCATGACATGTCGGTCCTCGAAGGCACAGCAGCACTGGCCAGGGCTGGACCGCAAGTCTCCTGCTTTGCTCACCCGTGGACAGCTCATCCCTCAGGTTACCCCACAGCCAGAGACTACAGGCCTCCAAAGCAGAGATGCAGCCAGGCAGTCTATCCTCCATGTTCCCAGTGGCCTCTTCTGGGGCTGGGACCCAGTCTCCAGGGTGAGGAGAATGGTTTGGCCACTGGAGGGGCAGAGGCAGTGATGCGATTCCAGGTGTCAGAGCAGGAGGGGACAGTGTGCAGGCAGGCTGTGCTGGCCCTCAACCCACTCCAGATCGTCACGTTCAGGGGCCACTGCATGGAGGCAGGGCCCAGGATGAGACGGCCTCTGCACATGCCCCTGTCCCTCCAACTCAAGGTTCTAGCTGTTCCTGGGCCTCTCCTTAGCCTATGTCTAGGGGCTTCCCCCACAGAAGACCCAACAGGCCCCTACCCCAGGGCCTATGCCAAAGCCCAGGCCTGCAAGGGTTCTGCCAGGAGGGAGAGCAGAGAAAAACCCTGCCCACAGGGTGGGGGAGGACCCTTGCCAGGACCCAGGTCTTCATCCTAGAACCTAGGAGGCTGTAAGCCAGGATCCCTTCCTGGCCAGACCTGCGGGGTGGGGGATGAGGCTGGGGGTGGCACCAGAACGAGGAAACCCACTCCCCCTTTGCTTTAGTCCCTCCCATTATGTGCCCATGATCTTCACATGGTCACAGAGTCACAGAGGTGGCCAATAGGCAATGACGGAGGGATGAGAGTGGGGATGCTAACAGTGGTCAAGGTGGGTGTGGTGCCAATGGTGATGATGCAAAAGTGTTGTGCTTTAGCTGGGGTGCCCAGTGAGTTCCCAAGGGGGCCAGGGGCCCTGCGAGTGGGAGGCCTCAGGCCTGGGACCACACCAGGCCACATGCTGAAGCCTGATCTCCACCAAGGACCCACAGAGGGTCCTAGATGATCTCTCATGCTCTGTCCACTCAATGGCCAGGGCCCATGGACCAGCAGACTTCTTCAAACAGTCCTGAGAGTTAACATGGTCACCTGCTTGTCACAGATGGGGAAACCGAGGCAGAACCGGTCAGCAGGGAGACCTGCTCTGAGAACTTGTTTGGGCTCTGAAGGACCCTGTGCTTAGAGGCCCTCTGTATACCGCCTTTTGAGGTGAGACAGTTCTAGTGCAGAGTCGAAAGCTGGGTGCCGTCCAGTGGCTTCCCCTCCTGCAGGGCCGGGCTTTGTTCCATCTGGTGGTGGCCCTGTCCCCAGGCTCACCGCCATCCTGTGCTCCAGCCCAGCTGCCCTGGGGCTGGGCACGTGCAGAGCCCACCTTTACCCAGGCGCGGCCTCTCTCTGATGAAGGGCCCAGCACAGTCGTCCAGGGCAGCAGTCGCCCCTATAGGCAACGCCCACTTCCTGGGGGCAACAATGCTGCGCCCTGCCGCCCTGGGGAGGGCTGGCACACGTCCAGGTGCCATTGGCGGGCTCGGTGAGGCCGTGTCCCGAGGCCGGCTGGGACAGGTGGCATCTTGGGTGCTTGGGCACCGCGGGCGGCCCCTAGGTTGCGGAGCCCGGTGAGTCTGAGTGCAGCGTGACGTAGCCCGAGGACTCGGACGGCGAGCTCAGGAAGCCGCTGGTGCTGCCGCCGCCGCCTGCTGCGTGAGGCCCCCGGACTCGCCCCACGAAGCGCTCAGGCCGCTCCGCAGGGGGCCAGCGTGCCCACGCACGGCCGGGCGCGGCTCCGCGCTCTGCTGCGAGCCGGCGCCGCCAGGGGGCGCCGCGTCCTCGCCCGGCGGGGCGCTGTCGGGGNTACACGGCGCTCGGGGCACCCTAAAACCCAGCGTCGGGCATCCACGCCGTGGGAGGGCCGCCCGCTTCAGTTTCTTTGGGGGAGAATCTTGGCCCATGGTGGAACAACTCAGGAAATGCGACGTTTTTTTTAAAAGGCAGAATTCAAAACTTGGCAGTGCGAGCCTGACTTCACTTGGGAAAAAGAAAATCACGTGTGAGCCTGGGAAGAGGATTGAAATAGAAGCCAACTTAGTTAACAGACGTTGTCGTCAGGTGGTAAAACTCTGGGCGACTTTTATTTTCTTCTTTATATGTTTTTGTATTTTCCACATTGCCCACAATCAACACATGTTACTTTTTATAATCAGAAATTGTTCTTTACTTTTTTTTAAGGGTAATGCCCCCACTTGGGGCGCTACAGAGCAATGGTGGAGGAGAAAGGCAAGTCAGCAAATAACTAGAAAAAAAAGCTACGGTGGCGTGGGAGTGAGGCGGGAGCCGAGGACGGACGGAGAGAGAGGGACAGCGAGGGAGGACCGTGGGCGGGAGGGCCAGAGCGCCAGCAGTCTGCGGGGAAGAGGCTCTGCGGCCAGGTTTGGGGGCCCTCGGGGACCCGCAGCCGCCTGCCGCTGAAAGCGAGAGCGAGGGTGGGCACCGCGTTTGCAGTCACAGAGGCAGGAGGAAGCGAACCTGAGGCAGGATCGGGGACAGGCCCCAGGGGAGCCCAGAGTAGTGGGTCAGACCGCGCCGAGGCCAGGCCGGCCGGGAGCTGCGGTTACCCAGGTTCCACATCTGAGTCCCCGGCTGCCCCGCTCGCCTCTGTCCCTGCAGGACCTGCCTGGCAGGAGGCCTGGCGTTTGGGTAGCGGGGCTCAGGGAAGGATGGGCAGCCTGGGTTGGAGTCTGGGCCCCAGCGCTGCTGCAGCCCAGCTTTGTGACATCGGGCAAATCAACTCTATGAGCCTCAGTTTCTGTAAAACGGGGATTTTGATTTCACGGTCAGGTGTTGATAGCGTTCAGCAAAGCCCAGTACCGTGTTTAAATGTTGCTCAGAAGACATGTGCTAAACTCGGTTGGTGGTCATTGAAAGGAGATTTAAATGTTTTAAAATCCGAAGCCGCCCCGTGGCGGTGCCACGTGGGAAGGAGGCCTGGGCATTATGCTGAGCTCCCGCCACTGCCCCAGTTTCCCCCGTTCTCTCCCAGACTCGGGACGTCTCCCTCCGCGCCAGGACGCCTCGCGGCCACTAGAGGGCACTCGTTGTATCTGCTCAAGGGAGTGAGTCTGGTCCTGGGGCAGGGAGCTGCTCCCAGGAATCCCTGTGTCTGGCCGTGAGCTTGTGCTCTCCATGCCGACTTGTGGCCCTGATTTTTCCCTGGGACCATCATTGTTCTGGGCACACAGAGTAACGTGATCCAGCCTGAGCAATGTCCTCTCCTCTGCCCATCATTTCCCCCTAGACCCTACCAGTCCCTTGTTGGAGAAGGGAGAGAAAAAAGGGTAGGCAGCCCCTCCCAGGTAGGGATAGGCTAGAGGGAAGGAGAATTTTTAGGAGACACTGGAGTTACTGAGTCTATCAGGGCCCAGGGCTCCTAGGCCAGTGATGGAAGAGAAAGGCAAGATACACACGCTGGCATAGACCCAGAGAAATGAAGTAACGCAGAGATGCACACAGGCACACAGAGAAACAGTAATTCATACAGAGATACAGACAGAAACACACACACCAGAGAGCGATCTGATCTGACAAATCCACTCTGCACCTAGTGTCACCCCAGTTTGTCATCCTCCAGCCCAGGGGAACAAGAAGCCTACAAAATATGACAATAAAAGAAAACTGCTCGGCCCTGGGATGCCTCTTTTTTTTCCTTTTCTTTTCTTTTTTGTAAATAAGCATTTGAATGTGTTTTGTTCTAGGAGCTGCGAGGCAAGCACAAAGGGAGCCCTTTCTCATGCAGGAAGGTCCCTCTGCAGCCCCCACCCCGCCCCCCATCCTGACATCCGCCCACCAGCAGAGGTGGCTTTCCATCCTGCGCTGAAGTCAGGATCCCTCCTGTTTTAAAGAGTCCTAAGAACCGTCTTGATTTTTCCAAGTTAAACTGCAGGCTGTGATGAAATTAGGCTGCCTTTTCTTAGGCGGGATTGCTTTATTGAACAAGAGAGGATTTTTTGGGGGGGGGGTTGTGCTGCAGAGCAAGCAGGAAGCAAGTGCAAGGATGGGCATTAACGAAGCCCTCAGCCCTCAGCCCACACCAGCTTCCCAGGAGAAAGGTTTGCTCCTTGTACTCATTTCGGCAGCCCAGATACTAAAATTGGAACGATACACAGAAGATTAGCATGGCCCCTGCGCAAGTATAATACCCAGGTTTGTAAAGCATTACATATTAAAAAAAAAAAAAGTTTTCTCCTCTCCAAGCTTGACTCCAAGTAGGAAAAAGTCCCGGAACCCAGCCTCTCCCTCCTCCCCGGTGACAGGTCCCCAGTCAGTTGTTGTTAGAGTGGCCTCCTGGGCCCCTTGTCATTTACAGGCCTCAGCCTGTCCAGTTCCCACGTGGAGGCCAGGAGGGGCCTGTCCAGGGCAGCTCTTCCCGGGAGAGAACACTGGTCCTCCAAAAGTTTTCTTTCCCTTCCCCTAGCCATTCTGAGCTCCAGGAATGAAAGCCTCCTCTCTCTAGTCTGGAAATGAGTAAATGATGCGGAATTCATGAGCACATCAGCCCAAAGTGCATAAGTCATATGTGCACAAAGTGGCCGGGTAAATATTTAAAGATTAGAGCCAGCTGGGGAGAAACACAAAAGGCTGGGACAATGGGGGTCCCTCTGAATTCACTCTCCCTGAGCTGGGCCAGCCCGGTTCAGTGTTGATGCACTCACTGGAGTCCCAGCCTTTGTCCCCAGAGGACCCTTGGCTGACGGGCTATTTGGAGTCCCAACACAGCTAAAGAGAGTTAAACAATCGCAGCCTCTCCAACCCCATCTGGAGACAATTGGCTGAGTCATTCCAGGGCTTTTGCAGTGTCTCAATAGTTAATTACAGGAGCAATCACTTCATTCCACTTTGAAATGCATCTTTGGAGAGGGATGGCGCATTTCTCCCAACAGTGGCCTTCGCTGGCACTCGCTAGTGGGCGTTGCTTTAAACGCCTGGGGGCTGCAGGAAGGAAGGACGCCCCCCCCCACCCCCGTCTAGGGTAGAGAGGCTGCTCAGGGCTGTCACCTGGGAGGGCTGGTGGAATGTCTAATAGGGCTCTTGTCCAGGGGCCTGCAAACCCCCTCCGCACCTCGTTTCCAGACCTGACTCGTTCTGTAATGTTCCTTCTTTTGCCAACGTCAGAAAAGCCAAAAGGGAGGACAAAGGCACAAGTCACTTTGCGCCTGAAATCCCCCAGCGCGAGGAAGCAGGACGCTCTACGTAGTCCCGGAAGCCCCCGGAGCCCTCCGGAGTTACAGGAGGCATTTGTTCCTTGAATAAGCTACTGGCGGCCTGGGTGTCCCAGCGTTGTGCCTGGACTTGGGCTCCTTTCCGAGCGTCCTGGGGGCCCCAGATCCTAAAGATGGGAAAAGAGTCGGTGGCCTACATCCCAGATCGCCTAAGCCCGGCTCTGAGTTGGTCCATGACCTTCCGAGAGCGCTTCGTCCTGCCTGCTGTCAGAGGACGCGGGGTGAACCGGTTGCCGCTCCCCCACCTCGGAAAACGTCTCCCCGCTCATGCGCCCCTTCGGAGCTGGGCTTGCCCGAGTGTGCTTAGGCCATCCAGACACAGGACGTTGGGGAGGGGCGGAACTGGGTCCCCAGCCTGGGTCTCCAAGAAGGATCTCAGTGGAGACTGACTTACTACCTTCTCCAGTGAACTCGCGATGCGAAGATCTGCCTTTAACTTAGTGGGGGAAGTAGCTGCCCAGAAGAAGGAACCTAAATTGGGGTAAAGTGGGGATGGGTACAGGAAGCTGCCTTCGAGCACGGGGAAAGGGAGGATGGAATCTGCCCGGGACCCCTGTCAACCGTGAGTCCCGCGCGACCTTCAGCGGGCTTAAGGCGGGTTTGTGTCGGGGTAGCGGCGCTAGGACAGGGGAAGCTCGGAACGTGGCGTTGGGGGACTCAGCCTAGGTGGGGAGAACCCAGTTAGAGACAGTGCCGATCGGGGGAAGGGCGCAGCGGGCGGTGCCGGGGGCGGCGGAGGCGGAGGCCCATGAAGTGGGCGGGGGCGGCGTTTGTTGGCTGTGAATCCCGCCGGGCCTCCCCTCCCGCAGCCAAAGCAGAACATTGCGAATTAGCGCGTTTTGCGGTCAATTTTCCACTGCTTGAGAAACACTAAACCACCCACGTGAGCGGTCCCACCCAGCGCGGCCGGGATCCCTGGGTACGGGCTGGAGAGAGGTGGAAGCCCAGGGAGCTGCCGGTGCGGGCGGGAGCGGACGGCGGGCCCCTTTATGGCGGCCCTAATTCTGGAGAGTGGGCGGGCCCCGCGCTCCCGCTGTGGGCCGCGAGAGCAGCGCCGATGGCCTTTGGTTTGCTAATGCGCCCGAGCTGAAAGGCGCTGACGGCGGTTTATGGGAAGGGATCATAATTAGAGGACAAATTGCCCCGCTGCCCGCGCGGCTCAAGAGCAGGGGCGGGGGTGCTGTTGGACCGCCGGAGCGAGGCGCGCGCCCAGCCTCCGTGCAGATGTGCAGCAGCTGGAAGCCTGCGCGCAGCGGGGCGCCCCGAGTTTGGCCCTGAGGGGGCGGGCGCGGGCGCGGCTTTGTGGGGTCGGCACAATGCTCTTAACACTCGGCTGCCCCTTTTGTGCCGGGCCGCGCAGCCCGTCAGCCCCGCGGCGCCTTTGTACTGTGCAGCCACCGCCCCAAGCCGGAGCGAGCGCACGGAGGCCGCTCGGCCGAGCCAACCCCGGCGCTTCAAAGCTGCCCGGCGCGTGCCAGCGTCTGCCATCCGGCCTCGGCCCTGCCGCGCGCCCTGGGCCCTGCCCGGATCTGGCCCGCGGACCCTGCGGCCGGGGCAGACGAGCACCCTGGAACTTCTGTCGTCGCAGCGTCGGCCTGAAAGGAGGGCGGGGCGCGATTCTCCACGCTGCTTGGCGCCTGGGAACGCCGCGGCCTCAGCCCGGCCCTTTAATATCCCGGGCGGGGGCGGGAGATGCTCTGGCTCCAGGAAACTGGGGGTTTCATCCAGAACTTAGCAATTTCCCTCCCCTTCACGCTGAGACCCTGCAAAGACCAATTTGTTCATTCCTCTGCTGCAGGGCTCAACTGTAGAACTGTTGCGTCCATGCGACGTCCCCATCGCCCTCGCAAAGCAGCTGTGGGGGCCCTCAATTTTACGAACCCTGAAACTGAGACTATGAGAGCCCAGTAATGGGAGATGTGTAGGGACGAACCCAGGGTCTCTCCTGGACTTCAGCCTTTCTGTCTGTCACAGCTATTGGAGTCCTGCTGTGGGGCCAAACCCGTGACTGCACCGGAGTCCTGCTGTGGGGCCTAGCCCGTCCTGGGGCAGTTGCCTCCTCCACTGAGCTCCCTGTCTGGGTCTCCAGCTACAGCTGGAAATAATGAAGAGGGGTTGGGCTCCAGGACCTCCAAAAGCACAGAATGGTGCTCTCCCCAGATGATCAGCGGTCTTCCTCACCCCCACCTCCCATTTGTTGGGACTCAGAGAAGGCCAGTGGGAGTAAACTCCCAGGCCTTTTCTGTGAGGGAAAAAGTCCTCAGAACCTGAGTTCTCCAGCCTGGAAGCCCAGGACTGGAGGTGGGAAAGGCCTTTCTGACTCACTTTGGCCCTGAGGCTGCTGCAAGCTGCCCCCCACCCCCAGCTGGCAGAGTGTGGGTTTGGTCCTAACAGGGCCAGAGGGCACCTGAGCCCAGGCTGCACCCTGGCACAGGAGTGCTCCCAGTCTCGAGGGCCCAGAGAGGAGGAGGCTGGCTGTGGCCCTGCGGGCGGGCTGCACGCTTTAATGGGACACATGTCACTGTGTGGCCCCCGCGGGCCCAGCCTGTGCCCGGCTTTGAGCGGCCACAGGCAGAAAATCGCTGCATTGTCCCGACATTAGGGCTACTAATGCAGCGTTGCCAGCGCGGCCAGAGCGTGAAGCCCTCAGTGGGTCCTCCCTGCCTCCGCATCTTTATCAGGCCCGTGGAGGCCCAGTACTCTGTCATAGTCACTAGCGGGGCTCGAAGCTGGCCGGGCCCAGGGAACCGCCAGTAAGTACCCCCCCAGAATGCTCAGAGACAAGAGCAGCAAGGACTAGACACGTGGGTCTGATGGGCAGGCCCAGAACCTAGGGACACTGGGATGAAACAAGGCATGGAGGTGATGGGCATAGGAGGGGACCCCAGACTTGGGAAGTGGTGGGGGTGGAAGGGATAAAGGAAAGGCTGAGAAAGGGCAAAGGGGGTACCTTGGGAGGGAGGCGGGGTCCTGGGGGCAAGGCTGAAGCCTGGGCTATGGGANTAAACCTCCCCCGTGAGGTAAGAGTGATCTGGTGACCACTTTCAAGCCCAACCTGGGAAAGGGCAGCCTGCTTTGCCCAGGTCAGCCCCCAGCTGGCCTCCCACATCCGGGCACACCTGGAAGGCCCCGGCACCACCACAGGCTGGGGTTCAAACAAAGCTCCCCCATTCTAGCTGTGTGGTTCAAGCAAGGTCCCTGTCCTCACGCTCTCTTTGTAACGGGACGCTTCTGCTTCCCTCAGGGGTAGGCTGGGGTGGGCAGACTCACCGCTTAAGCCCAGGGTCAGGTCCTGCACACCGTGGGTGGTCAGCATTATGTGACGGACGCCTTGGGCAGCATGGGCCTATCCACAGCCCAGGCATCAGACCTTGACCCAGGGAGGAACTGCCGATGGCCTGTGGACATGAGCCTGGGACACGGGACGCTAGGCAGGAGGCACGTGTTGGGGAGATGCCCCATCCTGCCTGAGGGCTGGGTAGGGAGTCCCTCCCTCTCCGTCCCCAGCCAGGCAGCGCTCAGCTGCCTCCGTGTGGGGAGTGCTGGCCAGTCCTTCTGATGAGAGGCGCCCCCACCACAGAACCCTCTGGAGCAGGCAGTGTGGGGAGAAGCACAAGTTAAGTGAAGGCCCACTGGGTTCTGCCTACACTGGGCCCTCTCACCTGGGAGCCTGTTTAATCTCACTGGCTACATTTCTCCTGCCCCTGACATGTATGGGGTGCCCACTGTACCAGACACCACCACGTGATTCCCCAGGGACTATTTCTAGCCTGGGATGGACAGGCCACTGCAGAACCCTGGCGCTTAGGGCAGAGGAAGCAACACTTCCCAGCACGCTGCCAGGTACCTCTGCTCAACTTGTCTGAGGTTCTTTCGGTCTGTCTGTGGCCTGACCCCCCTGGACACCGAGGGACCTCTGAGGGATGTGACTCATTCACCTTGGTGTCCCTGCTGTGGGCCTGCCCAGACCCCTGCCCCAGGGAAGGAGTTCATTCTGGACCACACCAGTGCCCCTTACGGGCCTCCTAAGTGGCTCAGGGGACTTCTGGGGCAGGGACTTTCTTCCCAAACAGGAGGCTTCTGCTTGCAGAGCAACCTATCCTTCTGGCCCCGGACCCTCCACCCGGCCATCCCAGTGTCTAGCCAACCTGCTGCCCTCAGCATACAGAGGCCGTGTGGCACACAGTGTGAGGTAAGAGCCGCTAGACCCCAACTCCAGGCCCCCACCAGTTACTTGACTCAGCTGGGCCTCTGTTTTCATCTCTGTAAGCTACCTACCTTGAAAAGCATTGTGGGTAGTTAAGCTATGCCAGGGAAAGTGCTTAGAATGGGGCCGGGCACACAGTAAGTGCTCAATAGATGCTTGCCATGGAGATATCTATACTCAAGCCCTCCCAGCCCACTGAGCTATGCTCTCTCTTAAGGGCTAAGACACTGAGCTTGGAGGTGTGGGTGAACCTCAGACCTGCCGGCGGACAGCCCAGCTTTGAGGGTAAGGAGGTCAAAGGGCTGCCCCCAGCCTTGTGGAGCGCCTGGCAGCGTGCTGTGGGCCAGAGGCTGCAGACACCAGTGGTCTTTGCATGACCAAATAGGGAACTGGATTCAGCATGCACCTGGGTGGCCGGCATCTTTTCCCACCTGAACTGGGCCACCTCGGCCATCAGATAGGGGGTCCTTCCCTCAGATGGCCAAGCAGGCTCTGTCTGCCCCGTGACCCTGGGCCCAGCCCAGCCCCAGCCCACCTGGCTCCTGGTGCAGGGTGGTGGGGAAGGCTACCATGGGCACAACTCTTCACAGTGCCAGTTCTTCCCCTCGTCTAACCTAATGGTGCCTCACTGCAGGGCAAGGCTTTGGGTCTGTGGGCAGGAGAACGTGCCCTGTGGGTAGAAGAAGGCAGCANGGCAGCAGGAGGGCCTGGGTCACCGAGCACCACAGCACACACAGTGCCATCCAGGGCGCCGAGGTGTCTGCCCGCAGGCTGCTGAAGCTCACCACCTGTGGGCACAGTGCTCGGCCTGGCACCTGGCAGGACCCCCAATGCACAGCTTCCCCTCCCAGTTCCTGTCCTCCCACCTGGGCGGCAGGTCTGACTGCCCATCGGCAGACAGAGCTCTAGGCTCTAGGGCAGGAAAGAGCCAGAGTGTGAGGGTAGAGGTCCCTGCCCACCGAGAGCTGCTGGCTGCCAAGACAAGCAGTCACAGCCCCAGGTGTGCACCGCCGTCACAGCGTACCAGGCCAGTGTACCAGGCAGCACTGGGCGTGCGTTTCCTCATGTTACCCTCACGACTGCCCGAGGACAGGGGTAGGGGCGTGGACTATCACCCTCGTTTTGGGAAGAGGAAACAGGCTTTGAGAATCAAGTCTCCAGCCTCCCAGTTCAGGGACCTTTCTGCCCTTCCCGTTCCTCCATGACCAGTGGCTTCTGCAGTCCGGCCCCTACTCTGGGGGTCTAGGCCTCAGACCCCAGAGGAGGAAGATCAGAGCAGTTTCAGAGATCAGAGGGTCCAGCCAGGCAGCCTTTGTGACCCAGTCACTGCCCAGGGTCACTCCTCCTCTCCCATTCCCCCATCCGGAGTGATATTTAACTATCCCCCCGTCAGAGAGGAGGCGGGCAGGGCGCGGGCATCATGTTGGTTCTGCTATGGGAGCTGCATGCTCCTCAGAAAGCCCCTCTCGGGCTCAGTTTCTTCATCTGTGAAATGGGCCAAGAACACTCCACAGGGTGAGACAAAGATTCCAGACCCTGTACCAGGCCTGCTGCACAGAGTGGGGTCCCCAAATGGTACCCCTTTCCTGCCCTGAAGAGAAGCTGGGGGTACCTTTTCTCACTGCTGGCTCTACCCTTTCATATCTGCTCCTTGCCTTCATCAGCACAGGGGCTGCGGATGCGGGGCCCCACTACACATAAGAGGACCCTGTACTTAGGGGGTACCGTGGGGCCCACTGAATGTGGGGTAGTAGGTCGCCAGGGGCTGCATCCTGAGTGTCCCCTGACTAGGAGGTTGCCACCCCACCCATCACCTTCTTAAGCTCAGGTTGTACAATGTCTCCCGGGACACAGCCCTGCCCAGCTGCTTGGACGAAGCCTCTGGCTGGTCCTTGCCCCTACATCTCTACCCGTCCTGCTCCAGACCCTTCAGGGGGCTGGGCTGGAGCCCCATGGGTGGGAAGATTTGGCTATTGGGTCCAGCCTCACTGGCAGGAGCCTAGGCAGCCTCGCTGGACACTGGACCTTTGCTGGTAGGCTTTCCTCAGACCAGCCCTCACCTCGACCTTCCTCAGCCCCTGGGATCACGTCCAACTCTCCAGTAGACATTCAAAGCCTGCCCTGCCTCCCAATTCAGGACCAAAGCCAATTCTGCCACAGCAAAGTCCTGCTCTGTCCATCCTAGGACCTGGGCCCACCAGGAAGCCTGTGGGCACGTTACCCCACTTTCCATACCCTCTGCATCGAACGGGCCTCCTTCAGGTGAGAAAAGCCCCCTGCAGCATGGCAGAAAGACCCTGGACTCTGCAGTCACCTGAAGTGGGGTCAAGTCCCACCCACTGCCCAGACTTCGGGTGGGTCATTTTATCTCCCTGAATCTTGGTTTCTAAGCCTGTAGAGTGGGGGTGCTGGTGAGGCCCCCCCCCTTCAAGGATTGGGTGTGAGGGTTCAACAGCCTAATGCCTGCAGTGTGCCTACCCCAAGGCTGTCCCAGAGCCCGTGTCCCCCAACAGCCTCCCCCCAGCCAACAGGCTCACCCACCAGCATGGGGAAGCCCATGAGGCAGTCGTAGATGACGACGATGGTGGCCACCAAGCCTGTGATCTGCAGCGAGGTCTTGGCGGGCTCAGAGCCATCGATGGAAGAACGGCGCTTGCCCTGTGCATCCTCCACCACGATGGTGGGCACAGTGAAGGCGCGGCGGTCAGCCCGGTGCCCCGCCTGTGCAGCCAGCGTCTGGAAGAGGGCGATAGCCGTGCAGACAACGCCCATGGCCACGCTGCCGCCCACCAGCAGCAGGAAGCAGACACCGAAGCCCAGGCCGATCTCAGCCACGATGAAGCGGCAGCCGTGGGCGTAGAAGCGCTCGCTCGTGTCATGCCAGCCGACAGCAGGCAAGGCCGACAGGATGAAAGACACCATCCAGATGCCCATGACCGTGTGCACGGCCTGCTTCTTGGCATTGCTCAGGCTGACACGGGATGAGGGGAGGACAGAGGGACCCAATGTCACTCACAGGGTCTCCCCCAGGCCCCCGGGGACCTGCAGAGGATCCCCAACTGCCCTGGCCCCCAGAACGTCATAGGCATGGTACAACCAGCATGGCGGGGTGTGTCCCTTGCACAGAGGACACTCGTGCACAGTGTCACACATCCCTCTTACCAAGCATTTCTGTACTGGACACAACACACCCAAGCATCCCTACAGGTACACGGTCCCCACAGCCCAGAGCAGCCCCTCCTGAGCCCCCCTGCCTGCCCCCAGCACAACACAGGTGTGGCACACCACATGGGCATGGCCACCACACCGAGGGCATTTGTGCACACAGGTACACCAGGTGGTCTTCATGCTCACGCCCACAGATGCCCATCTCCAACCCCAGACACTCGAGTGCACACATGCACACGCTCGGGAGCTCACCGGTAGTTGACGGGCCAGCGGACCATCCACATGCGGTGGTAGGAGAGGGAGGTGACGGAGAAGCAGGTGGCCAGGGTGAGGGTGTAGAAGGTGGAGACAAAGACCTTGCAGAGGCCCTCNTGATCCACAGATTTCCAAGCCGCTGATGGAGAAGAAGCGACGGGCACGCATCAATGTGTCGCTGGAGCAGCTCAAGTCATTGCTGGAGAAGCACTATTCGGACCAGGTGAGACACAGGGATATGATGGTGGTGGTGTGTGACACGATCCCCAGCCTCCTCGCCTCCATCCCGGCCTGCCCAACTATGAGCCCTTTACACGGATCCGCAGATCCGGAAACGCAAGTTAGAGAAGGCAGATATACTGGAGCTGAGCGTCAAGTACATGAAAAGCCTTCAGAACTCGTTGCAAGGTAGAAGGTGGGCCCTGGAGGGGGTGGGGGGGCTTACGGGGTCAGAGCCATGCACAAGAAGACAAGGCCAGGTAAAAGAGGATGGAGGGAGAAGAAAGCTCGGGGCAGTGGGCCGCTGGATGAGGGGGAGGCAGCAAAGGTCCGGCAAGCTGCGGAGTTGCAATCCGCGTGGAAGAAGGTCTGGACCCCGGGGAGACGTTCGTGCTGCCTCCCCGTCCTTCCCTTCTCCTCTTCCCTTTCGCTCCACACGTCTCCCTCCCTTTCTCTTCTCTGCAACTCTCCTGTTCTCCTCCCCTCTTCTACACTCCCCTCCTCTCCGCATTTCTCCCGTCCGCTCCCCTCCCCCGCTCCCGTCCCTCCAGGGTTCTGGCCGGTCCCCAGCAGAGCCGAGTACCCGTCGGGCTTCCGCGGCTGTCTGCCGGGCGTTAACCAGCTTCTGCGGCGCGGAGCGGAGGGCGGCGGCGGCGTGCGCTGCCCCCTGGCGCACGAATGCGTGGTCGGCAGCACCATGGACAGCGTCAGCCCCGGCCCGGAGGCGCCCGCGCGGCGCGGCCCCTGCGTCCCGGGTGTTTGGGCCTCTGATCCGGCCGCCGGCGAATCGCGGTCCCCGCCACCCCGGCTCCTCCTCCCCAGAGGTCTTCCCGGCCCGTCCACCAGCTTCCCGGCACCGCCGCCGGCTTCTCGCCAGGGCGCCGAGAGCCCCGAGAGCCCCGGGCCGGCGCTGCGCCTGTGGCGACCCTGGTGAGGCCCAGGCGAGACTTGGGACTCAAGGGGGGCCCCCATCTGGTTGGCGGGCGCAGAGACTGTTCTGAGCTCCCCCGTGATGACGGCCATGACCCCCAAAGTCCGTCCCGGTCCCGGGTGGGGTGGCCGGAAGGGCGCCGCGTGCCCGAGAACGCGGGGAAATACACGGAGTCACAGTGGACCCGGGTCTGAGCGTCTAGGCATAATCCACCCCCCACCCCAGCCCCACCTACTCAGGCTAGACCCACTCTCTCCTCCCACCTCTACGGGGTCTGGGAGGGGGTGTCCCGGGCTGCGCCCCTTTCCCAGGGCCCCCGGCGGGCAGCCCTCCCTCGCCCCCGCCCCGCAGCCGCGCCACGGTGGGAAGGTCGCAGTCGGCAGCGGCGCAGAGCAGGCCCCTCGCAGCGAGGAGAATCGCTGCCCCGCCCCGGCCCATTCAGCGGGCTGGGGACGCCCGGTTCCCACCGGCACAAAGCACGCCGGGTCCCGCCCCGCGGGCGAGGGGCCTCCAGCCAACTCCCACCATGTACCCTCCGGGCTTCCACCGATTCCCACCCCCGACGCTCGCGGCGCGGCCTTCCTGCGGGCGCTCGCTGCAACACCCTCCCCTCTAAGAGGCACCTCCCAGAGCCGCCCTTGCCCAACCGCCCACTCTGAGCTCTGGCCCCGCCCAGAGAGTTGCTCCGCTCACCCGACGCCCTGCGGCGCCGGGGTCTTGGGGCGACCCTGCGCGCTCTCAGGCCAGCTTGAGGGCTGCTGGAGCGAGCCGAGCTTCTTTCGTGGGAGAGTTCACCCCTTCCCATTCCGCAAAGTCAGCGGCCCTGCAGAACCCCCGCCTCCGGACCTCTGGGGCCGCAAGGGAGCTCACAACCCTCAACAGCCTTCGGAGCGCTCAGCACCTGTTTATTCGTCTGAAAATGAGGTCATTGCTGTGATTGGACTCTAGCCGGGAAGTCCCGGCATGCGAGGGGCAGGGGAACTGGGGATCTCTCGCAGGACCCAGGAAGAGAGTTTGGTACTTCCACCAGCTTGAAATTCAGAATAAAGACATTGTGAACCTATATACAGAGACTACAAAGGTTCTAATTCAAGCACAATGTCTACTCAAATGCATCTCTCTTTTAAAATTTTATTTTATTGGGGAATTGGGGAAGGGGAACAGACAAGTTGCCGTCCTTTTGTTCTTCAGTCTAGTTGTAGAGGACATCTCTTCACTGGTTCATGTTGGTATTATCATTGCCCTCTTCTAGGGTGAGGCAGTCGCTCGCTGGCCATTGGACAGCCGCTGACAGCGGCTCATAGGAGGCTCACGCCTGCTGCCTGCCAGCCCCACTATAGCCTTCGCCAGTGGCCGGCAACTCAGCAGCCCAGCTCCAGGTCGAGCTGTTGTTCACCATCTTAGCTGTGGAGGGCGCAGCATCACTGGCCCTCATGTGGGATCCAAACTGCGGTCCTGCTGCTCAGAGCTGGTGTCCCAAGCCATCTCTTAACCAACGCGCCTCCCAGCCAGCCCTAAATGCATCTTGCTCAACTACAAACACCAACTTCCTATAAAACATTTCTTGTTTTGGGCTGCCCCTGTCTTGCCCGTGTGCTAAAACCGTCCTGGTCAGACTACCGGGAGAGGGCAGCCCGACTCCCCGACTCCACTCAGTGGGCTCACCGGAGGGGTAGGGGTCCGGTCTGTCCCGGGGCTGCCTTTCGGGTCTCAGCTTCCCACCGCGCTGGATGTGAATGGCGGTGGTAGGGCCACGGCCCTAATACTTCTTCCGGCCACCAGGTGGCGATCCTGCACCGCAGACCCAGGAGTTGGCCTTCAACTTCCAATCTAGGCCAGCGGGCTGGTCACGGAGCACAACAAATCCCGTGGTCCCAGGACCTGCTACGACTCCCGTCCTTCTCACTCTCCAGAATAAATCTCACTGGGGCTAGCGGCCCCTGAAGCCATCCCCGAGGTAGAGGCTGTCACCTGCCCTCATAGGGTTTCTCCTGCTTTTAGGGCCTTGGTGCCCACCCCACTCACTCTGCGTGGTGTCTCAGCA